CTTATTTTTGCCTTTTATGTGCATGTGTCTCTTATTGGAGCAATTGACAGAATAACCTAAATCATTTCCCTAATCATCTTCACTGTCTTAACCATCTGTATCTTTTAGACTGACTCAGAAAGTTCAGTTAAATCACTGATCATCTTCATTATGATCTGCAAGTAAATTGCCCATTGAGGAGTGGGATTTTCCCATGCAACAATCACACTATATTTGATATGGTGGTACCCTTTCACATAATCACACTGTACTTGATATGGTGGTATCCTTTCACATAATAGTCACACTATGCCAAATACAGTAGGAACACAACAGCAACAAGTAGCAGAAAGCACAACAGAAGCAAAGGGCGTTCTGGAAACAATCCCCCACAGGGCTTTGCCTCTCTAGGACGTAACCATTGTTGTAATTTTTAAAAGAAAGACACCATGCAACAGAGTTCATGAGGAGGGGATTTTTAATAAGAGAAGAGGATCATAAAAAGGGGAAAGGGGAGGAGGGAGACCTGCCTCCTGGGACAGGAGCAGTGGGAGAGAGGAGAGAGAGAGAGAGAGAGAGAGAGAGAGAGAGAGAGAGAGAGAGAGAGAGAGAGAGAGAGAGAGAGAGATGGGAGGTGGACATGGCCCTTTCAAAAGGAAACATATTGAATAGGCACAGGTGGTGTTCTTAGTGGCAGTAGCTGAGGGTGTATCTTTTCAGAACTCCAAAGGCAGGCCAGTACAAATGCCATCATAGCTTTCCTATCTGGTGGGTTGTATTCCATGAGCCCCATGCTAACTGCAGCTCCTCCGACATGGTCACTGAAAAACAACCTCAAAAAATAAAATATCTTGGGGTAACTCTAACCAAGCAAGTGAAAAACTTGTGTGATACAAACTTTAAGACATTGAGGAAGATACCAGAACATGGAAAGATCCCCCAAGCTCGTTATTTGGTATAGTAAAAATAGCCATCATATAAAAAACAACCTAACAGATTCAATGTAATCCTCATCAATATTCCAACACAATTCTTCGAGATCTTGAAAGAACAAATTCCAGCTTCATACAGAAAAACAAAAACAAAACAGAATAGCTAAAACAAATCTGAATGATAAAAAGAAAAGCTGGAGGTATCACTATTCCTGATTTCAAGTTGTACTACAGAGCTATAGTAATAAACACAGCATGATATCAGCACAAAAACAGACACACTGATCAATAGAATTGAATTGAAGACCCAGGCATAAGTCCACAGATCTACCTATGGACACATGATTTTTTTATAAAGAAGTCATAAAAGCACATTGGAAAGAAGACAGCATTTTCAATTAATGGTTCTACTCAAACTTGATGGCTACATGTAACAGTATCTTAATAGATCCATACTTATCACTCTGTATAAAATTCAGCTTCCAATGGATCAAAACCAGATACACTAAACCTGATAAAAGAGAAAACGAGGAATAGCCTTTAACTCATTGGCACAGGAGACAGCTTCCTGAACAGAACATTGTTAGCACAGGCACTAAGATCAACAATTAATAAATGGGACCTCATGACACTGAGAAGCTCCTGCATGGCAAAGGATATCATCATTCAGACAGAGCAGCAGGTTACACAATGGGAAAAGATGTTGCCAACTACACAGCTATGGGGGGGTACTATCCAAAATAGATAAAAAACTCAAAACTAATTATCAAGAAAACAAATAACTCAATTAAAAATGGGGTATAAATCTAAACAGAGGATTTTCAAAAGAGGAAACACAAATGGCTGAGAAACACTTAAAGAAATATTCAACATTCTTGGTCATCAGGAAAATGCAAATCTTACACCTGTCAGAATGGCCAAGATCAATAAAACAAGTTACAGCTCTTACTGGAGAGGATGTAGAGTAAGGGGAACACTCGTCCATTACTTGGTGGGACTGTAAACTTGTACAGCTACTCTGGAAATCAGTGTGGCAGTTCCTCAGGGAGATGGGAAACCATCTACTCCAAGATCCAGCTAAACTACTCTTAGTCCTATACCCAAGCATACTTCATCCCACCACAGAGACATTTGCTCAGCCATGTAATTGCTGCACAGATGAATGGATAAGGGAAACGTGGTACGTTTACACAATGGAATATTACTCAGCTGTAAAAAATGAAACCATGAAATTTTCAGGCAAATGGATTGAACTAGAAAAAAATCATCCTGAGTGATGTAACCCAGACCCAAAACACAAATATGGTATGTATTCACTTATATGTGGATATTAGCTGTTAGGTCAATGATAACTAAGCTACAACTGGTATAACCACAGAGATTAAGGTAAAGAGTAAGGGACTAGGAGGGAAAGATACATCTCCATAGGAAAGGAAAACAGGACAGATTGTTATGGATAGCTGAGTTGGAACTTCCCAGGACTATCACGTATGGCCGGGGAGGAAGGAGGGGGTTTAGATGAATTGATGGAAGCACTCAAACACTGACCCTCCACCTTGAAAATGCTATTCCTACAAATTTGTTTTCTCATTACTGCATGAGTTTCAAAATTGGAGAAAATGTATAATGAAGTCCCATAAACCCACTGGTCAGCTTCCAAAGCCAGATACACAGCCCATCTTGCTGATTGGTGTCCTCTACACCAATTCTTTCCAGTAGTATTTGGGAGGCAGAAATATTATATAATTTTGTTCATAAACATCTCAATACGTGTCTAAAATAAAGGCTTTTAAAATAAATATAACAGGGGCTGGAGAGATGGCTCAGAGGTTAAGAGCACTGGCTGCTCTTCCAGAGGTCCTGAGTTCAATTCCCAGCAACCACATGATGGCTCACAACCATCCGTAATGAGATCTGGTGCTCTCTTCTGACCTGCAGGGATACATGTAGACACAGTACTATATACATAATAAATAAAAATTTAAAAATATATATATAACAGCAATACCATTACTGTCCTCAATATCAGCAAATGCCTACTGATTATCAAAATTTTAATTGTCTCATAAATATATTCTTTAGCATAGTTGGTTCAGGATTCAAATAACTACAAACACTCTATAAATTTTGTATTTTCAAATAGAAAGAAAATCCAAAATTAAGTTTCTTTATTCCTCCCTTATATTTATGGAACTACAATAACAGGGAGGATATTTTTTATTATTACTATAAAGGTCTTGCCAGGCTGTGTTAGTCACTAGAAATCTATCCTCATGGGTCCTTTTTCCAGAGCCTTACACAACCAGAAGCAATTGGCTGTTGAGTTGCAGAACAGATTGGCAAATCATTCTTTTTCCCAAGGGAATCCAGTCACATTGACAGTCACCCATCTATGCCCTCAGCCCTCAAGTGCTCCTGTGCAGCCATATTAAGTTAAAAGGTTCATGGAACCTCTGCTGAAAGATAGTATCTTCTCCATAGGAAAGCTGCACCCATTAAGTCTCAACAATACAGTCACCTAAACAAGACCTCCACAGTGACCATCTGCTGACATTCCACAGTGAATGGGGAAAAAAAAATCTCGCAAAGCCCTGCCCCTAGATGAAGAACGACAGGCAATTAAGGGCTGCTGAGAAAGGGGGACTCAGCCTTCCCCAGGGACTAGCCCCCTGATAGACTACCTAATCCCAACTGGCCAGCCCTAAAAGCATACACATACAAGTAACAGCAAATGGTCTCAGCAGGTTGTATGTGTGTGTGAGTGAGTGAGTGAGTGTGTGTGTGTGTGTGTGTGTGTGTGTGTGATAAAAACAATTGAAGATGAGGCCATGAAGATGATAGGGAGTGAAAGGGACACAAGAGGAATTGGCAAGGGAAATCCCCAACCCCACCCCACCCCCAAAAAAGGTGAAATAGAAATTTAAAAAGAAAAAGCTTGAGGGTTCAGAAGCTGGAGAAGCCACCAGGGGGCACTCAAGGAACTTGCTGAAGGTCAGCGTTGCCTAAAAGCCAATTTGGCGTCTGTAACACAGAGGAGAATGAAATGCCCAGATGTAGCTGGACTTTTCCCTGGTGCGGGCCAAATTCTGCCAACAGAAGGAAACAGGTCTCAGGAAGCTACACGTTGTCCCCTACAGTGCTTGGGAAAGGCCAGCCTTAGCCATCATATGTCTCTTCTGAGGGTTTGGTGATTTTACTCCTCCCACCAGGCAATGGTTTTCCTTACACATCTGCTAGACAACAGAGAACATGTAGAGGTGTGCGCACCTGGTAGCCCCATCACTCCTGGTATTTTGTTTTGTGGCTTGTTTTTTTTGTTGTTGTTGTTGTTTTTTAAGTAAGAAAATGGTTTGTTTCAGCTTACAATTCTCTCAGGTCACACTCCATCCCAGGGGCAAGTCAGGGATGAATTTAAGACAGACACCTAGAGACAGGAACAGATACAAAGGCCATAGAGGAATCCTACTTACTGGCTTACTTTTCCCATAATTCTTAGTTCATGTTTCCATTATTACATAATCAAAGACAGCTGCATTATAAACAATGTTAGGCGTCAGTTAATGGCATATTGCACACGTAGAAAAAGGCTCGACGCAGGGAACCTTGGGACCCAGATTCTCCATTTGATTTTGCAAGTATCCCTTGTATCTACTCCTTGGTAGAAACTGAGGAGGATGAGACAGAAGCCATCCACAAGGTCCCTTCATTCTGGGCTATTTTTGCCTGGCACTTACATGCCAACAGTCTGCTGTCTCTGGGGTTTTGTGTTACCAGTGCTCAGTTATTCAGTTATCCACTGTCTGAACATGCTAAACACTTCCCGTTTGCAATCACTCCCCATGTTGAGTTGTGTGATGAAGTCTCTATGCGCATTATCCCCGAAGATGCATCACCCTTTGGTCCAACCATCAAAGCCTCCCTGTTTTCCACTTAAGAGCAGATCAGAACCTCTGTCATAGAGTTTGCGTTTAGGTATCCTGATTGTAATTAATAATGATTGTAATTAATAATGGCCCCAAAGCCCAAGAGTAATGATGCTGGCAGTTCAGATAGCCAAAGAGACAGTACAAAGAACTTTCTTCAAGGGAGTAGGGGCGCAGTCACAAAATATTTATTGCAAAGTATTGTTTACATAGCTATAGAATTAGTATATTGCAGTATATTATAATCATCCTACTATGAGTTACTATCAGTTATTATTTATTTCTTTCTTCACCTAATTTACAAATTACACGTTATCATAGACATGTATGAATACAGAAAAACAGACATACTGGGGTTGATAGTCTGCAGCTTCAGCCATCTACTCATGAAATGTAGCTTCTGTAGACTAAGTGGACCACTATAGCTTCCTAAGGCTGCTGTAACAAAATACTACAACTAAATGGCTTAAAACAGCAGAAATAGTCGTCTGCCTCACGCTGCTGGCAGCCAAATGCCTATTGCACACATATGTGTACATGTGTATACGTGTTATGAGTGTACTATGTGAGTGTGTATAAGTGTGAGAGTATGTGTATGAATGTGTGAGTATAGTTGAGTCAATGTGTGTGTGCATGAGAGTGTGTGTGTGTGTGTGTGTGTGCAGTGTCTTCATATCATCTTCCTCGTGTGTGTGTGTGTGTGTGTGTGTGTGTGTCTTTTTTTTATAAGGACACTAGACATTAAATTGGGACCTCATGTCTCAGAGACCTCATTTAACATAGGAAATCTCTCTCTAAAAAGGCAACATTTTGGGGCACAGGGGACTAAAACCTCAACAGATCTTTCAGGGGAATGGGCACAATTCAATTCATGGCAGGACCATGTTTTAGGAAAGATAACTTTTAAAAGCCAGTGTTGACAAAGTCTCATGGGTCATAAATGCTAGTGGGTCACAGCACCCTGAGGACCCAAGGTAAAGTTATAATCTATCAGGCATCATAGCAATATGTGGACAAAGCTGGTTGTTTCTACAATAACACATGTAGACAGCTATGTGACACGACTTTGGTGAGGATAACAGCCTTCCGCATAAACCACATGAGCTTTAGGATTCAAATTACGATATGTGCATTACATTGGGTAATTGCCTAATGCTAAAATGTCATCTGAGGCACAACAAAGCTGTAGAGTTTATCTGAGCAAACGCTAATAGTTCCCGGGGAGCTCCAAACCCAGTGTGGCCCAGGCCTTTCACATGGAAGCTCATCGGGGTGGCATGGAAGCCAAGCCAATGGGACTGGTTACAGCTCCACAGTTGTTTATTTGGTCTCTTCCCATTGAAGAGCTCCTAGTTATGTAAGCTTTTTTGTCTACTTCTGATTGGTTGCGTTTAATTTTTCATTCTTTATTTAATATGCAAATGTATGAGAAGTAGTTCAACTTACATTTTGCTGATGCTTTCAAATCAAGCAAAGCCAAGGTCATGCAGGAGGAAGACGGCGACTTCCTGGTTTTTTTTTTTTTTATGGTTTGGACCTGGCCTCCATTTTAATGCTTTAACACTATGGCCCACTGAAAGTCAGATCCAAGCCAAGAGGGAAAGAAAGAAGAAGGAGAAAGAGAGGGAGGGAGGGAGAGAGAGAGAGAGAGAGAGAGAGAGAGAGAGAGAGAGAGAGAGAGAGAGAGAGAGAGATCATGATAGAATTGCTTTTATAGTGAACACAGTTTATCTGTATACATTGTACACGATAAATGTTCACAAAATCAGATTCACATTCGGATTCGCAGGTGGGCTGTGGTTCTCTCGGGTTTCAGTTGGATTGCTCACAGCCCAGCAGGCGCTGGTCCCCACAGGCCACACTTCAGCTGCTGCCATGGCTGCTCGATGAGCAGCGTCAGGGCCAACCCACAGAGGAAGGTCAGCACACAGTGTCCAGAGAAAAGATAGAACTGTGGGCAAAGATGGCACAGTGGGCAGCTTGTTCCATTGGTTCCCCCGCGTCAGGATCTGAGAGTACACAGCCCCAGTGCTATGAAGCAAAGCAGAGCAGGCAATAAACGGTCCCAGACAGTTAGCCCTGGGCTGAAGCCCTCCCCCTCCCTCCTGCGGCTAAATCAGAGAGCAGAGCGACTCTAGACAAGAATAGCACCAAGTCATCTCCCAACAAAGCCAGCGGTTTGCTCTGCTGCTCAAGAAGAGCGAGTGGTGAAGCTAAGACAGAACCAAAGGCCAGGCACCTGCTCACCATATTGGTGTCAGTATAGTGAATAAGGGTCTCCTGCAGTCCGTTATAGAGAATGATCACAATGGGATGCGAGAGGTAGCAGGCATAACTGATAGCAGCCGGGAGACGCCAGATGCCACAAGAAAGCACCCGCTTCACCAGACCTGGTGGGAAGAGTCACAGAGTCACAGAGTCACCTGTCTCTGGTGCCACCTGACACATTGCAGGCACTCTCTTTTTAAAAGAGCATGTGTGTGCATGTGTGCATGTGTACCTCTTAGCTGCTGACTCATCTCTCCAGCCCCTGCAGAACCCTATTCTGTCTCTTGACATCTCCTAGCCTCCTCCCTGTCACCACTCAATTGCAATGCCTTACAGGGGAAAAATTCTTTCTTATCTACTGCCGGATCCCAACTATAAAGAAAATTGTCTAGCATAAAACAAATATACAAACACAATTACGCAATTAAGTGAGTACACCTGGAAATAGTGAGCCCAGACCCCCCAATCACTGGTAACACCTGGGGTCCCTTTGGTGACTGTGTCCATGAGGCCTGGAAGATGTGTGTTCAATCAGCAAGTGGGGATCACCTGTTTTCTCTTTAAGCCACCAGTTCCGGCCACGTTGGCTGAAGCTGAGCACTTTTCATCTACAGACTGATTCTGAACTCATCCCATGATGCCCCTCGAGTACACAGCTGTCCTGCCCACCCCCACACCATCCCCATGCCAGGGCTCTGTTCCATGGCTTTAAAGATTCAAGAAGTTTGGAAACAGAGATTTTTCTGGATGGTGCCTGAGTGATGTTTGGTGGTATCTCTTTACCTCATTCCTACCTCAAGCCAAATAGAGAAAGGGAGGAAAATGTCAGGAGTCTTGACCATCTCTCTCTAATCAGGAGATTTCTCTCTTCCTATATGCCCTACATCTGCATGCCCCTCTGCACATCGAAAGCCAATGGCACAAAGATATTCTCCCTGGTTATGGAAGGGGTCTTAGTGATTCTTTGTCTCCTCCTCTCAGATGGAAACTGAGGCCTAAGGTGGGCGTGACCAGAGCCTTGTGCTCTGTTACTACACTACATCATTTTTCTCACTGTTTTTCAGAGTTCTGATCTACATCTTAACTAGTTTTATGGAGGAACTCAAACCTTGTCTTTTAGGACATACCTTACTTCACAAACCAACACAAAAACTAAAATTAATGTATGAGAGTTAACCACCCCAAGGATAGAGACAGAGTGTTCTTTCTCCATTGGTATCAATTATTCCTCCCTACCTCTGGATGCACACCTTGTCTTTTAACTTTGTCACCCTCTGGAACAGGGTGTGATCCCAAGAGCCCCCTCCTACCTCCATAGCCTTCCTGACAGGCAAAGATGACCCAGCCCACAGCGGCGGCCCACAGGGTCCGATGGAGGGCTTGATAGATGGCAGTGGCCGTGGAAGAGGTTGGAGAGGTATCATCCACTACGTATGCCAAGGCGACAACTACAAACAGGGTCAGCAGAGAGAAAGTCCAGCCCAGCACGGCCTGCACCTGAGGCAAACAAGAGGCAGTTCACAGTTCTTGAGTCACAGCAACCTTTCGCACATGCTCACTTCTTGGTGCCATGTTTGTCACTTCATATCTCTCTATGTGAACTTCAATCACTGCAGATTTCACTAAAAGATCAGCTTAATGGTAGACAGGGGTTAGGAACACTGGGGGTGAAGGGTGTGTGTGACTATAAAGGGATGAGATGATCTGGGTGTGGTGGCATATGTCTATAATCCTGTTGCTCAGGAGACCAAGACAGTTGAACTATGAGTTCAAAGCCAGCTAGGTTACACAGAGAGACCCCCACCTCAAAAACCAAAAAGTAATTGCACAAAATAATAGCCTGCATGTTCAACTGTTATTAGAACGCTTTCATGCACACACATAATGTACTTGGATCATATTTGTTCCCTGCTAATCCACACGTATCCCATCTTCCCTCCCTCTGGATGCTTTCCATCCTACTCTTACACGTTTAGTTTTTAATAAGCCTCAGTCTATTCAGAGAAAAGCCGGGGGTGGGGGGTGGGAAGGGGGGGGACGGGGGTGAGGGATTAAGGGCTCATGGTGATTGAAGAGCCAAACTCCTTGATTGTAGTGACATACACAACTCTCTACACAGGACAATAATCCTCAGAATTCTACACACACACACACACACACACACACACACACACACACACACACAAGTACAGGGAAAACCGGCAGTGTAAGGTCCATGGGTTGGGTAATCTGTCCCTGGGGAGGATAATATACCATTGTTCCCTGGCTCGGTGCCTGATGCACAGCCTGGCTGAGGAACATGCAGAACCTCTCACAATGTTTTTGTTTGTTTGTTTACTATTTCCCACAAATATATAATCAGTTCAAAATCAGTTAGAAGAAAACTTTCCTCTCCAACACTGCCTCAACTGCTAACGTCCCACTCTGTCCCTTAATCAAAAGGATGCCTCAATGGCATGGAAGAGGCACCTCCAGGAGTAGGAGGAGAGCAACTTCCAGCCCGAAGAACAGATGAGTAAAGTCCCATCACCTGGCTTGGTTTAAGTCCTGGAATTTATGCCACAGCTCTTGATCTCTTCACGCCCATACCTATCTCCCAAGACTTTCTTGCTTCTCTGAGCTCTAGTTCATAAGCTGCCACTATGACCAGGCTTAAGTAAGCTTGTCTACCATCTTGTCTCTGAGGTCTACTTGGAGCTCTACTACCTGTCCTCCGTTGGTTGTAGGGAAGGAACGTAAGCTAATGGGGATTTTTCTACTCTTTTAGTTTGAACTAAGTCAGTCTTAGCCCCTCACCCTTTGCTAATTCTTTAAGTGCCAGCAGGCCTGCAACCTCAAGAAACACACCTGAGCTCGAGCTGTCCTTGCTCCTTGCCTACTGGTCTGCTCACAGGCCCCTCCCCGTTTCATTCCTAGCAGCCACTGCATGCCTGACTTCCTCCAGTAGGAAGTAGGAGTCCTCTTTCCTCCCCACATTCCAGTTTGCTTCTCCCGCTCAGTCTGTTTGTATCCCCAGCTCCAAGCTCCCCACCCCTACACTGCCCTTAACATGGTGTCCCCAGTGCTTCCTCTTTGTCTTACCTTCTCCCCTTTCTAATACCCTGTTCTCCCTGGAGCCTGCTGTCACCCGGGCTAACATCAAGGGTCTCTTTGATGTTATACTCTTCAACTGGATGGTCCATTTCCATAACATCAAAATGCTAACACGTAAAAGATACACAATTCTATATAGCCATTTGTCCTGATGAAACTTTTTTGTTTGCATGCTGTTTGTTGGAGTGATTTCTTTGCTTTTTTGTTTTGACTTGTCTGGGGAGTTTGTTGTTTTGGTTTGGGGGACTTTAGGATTGGTTTCTCAAAAGGGTTTCTCTGTGTAGCCTTGACTGTCCTGGAACTTGCTCTGTAGATCAGGCTGGTCTTTAATTTACAGAGCTCTGCCTGCCTCTTCCTCCCAAGTGATGGGATTAAAGGCGTGTGTGCCACCACTCCCAGAAAAACCTAATCCCTGACGTTGCTGTGAGTTACACAAGATTTTCCAAGGACCAGAACCTCTTCTCTGAACTATCTATGACAAAGTCAAGGTCAATGAAGGTCATACAGAGTCCTTGGAGGGGCAAAAGTTGTGCCCCAGTAGTGCAATTGGATTCTTGGTCCTTTAGCTCAGGAAGGAGGACTGGACTCCAGCTAGAAGAAAAGTCCCCCTCATACTTTAGCATGGATGTGTGACACACCAAAGGACAGTAACGAATCCAGCAACCTGGCTCCGTCTGCACTTAGCTTGGAAGAGCCAGGTCAGAGAGGCGACACCAATCCCATTCAGACTGATGCCCTTAGAGAGAGGCAAGGGGACAACGTACCGTAGTCTTGAGAACGTTTGTAGGGTGATCTGAATGCATGAACATGCTCAGGAAGAGGCCCACAAGAAACGGGCCGCACCGGCAGTAGGGCTTGGTGTAATACTCTGAGAAATACAGCGCAGATTCCTTTTCACTGGAAGGACACAAACAAACAAGGAAGCAAGGCAAAAGCTCAGTTTTGAGCTGGATGAGGAAAAGGGACTGTCCCCGGGGTGATCCGCATATCTAGAGCCAAATTTCCCAATAACGATCTACACACAGTGACCGCCCAGGCCCTAGACTCTAGGGCCTTGGATCACAGCTGGCTTTTTGAAATTCTAAATTCCCTTAGGCTCTGTACCCAGATCTTAAAGACACATGATGACTTCATTTGTTTTAAATACTCCTTCGAGGTGGCTGATCCACTGCCTTTAGGAATGAATGTAGTTCCCAGAAGAATCTAGGAGAGGAGAGTTCCAAACCAGTTGGAGACATTTGAGAGCACTTCCCAGCACTTGGGAAGTAAAGGCAGGCAGATCTTTGTGAGTTCTGCACCAGCCTGGTCTAAATAGCTAGTTCCAGGACAGCTAGGGCTGTATAGAGAGACCCTGTCTAAATAAATAAATAGGTGAAAAAAAGTCATGCTATTCAATGCTGTGGTTGCCAAGCTATGTCCCTAACACCAGCAGCAGCAGACCTGAGAACCTATTAGGAAACCAGATTGATGCCTGCCCCAGGAACATTGACCAGGAGGAGGCTAGCAGTGGACATGTGTGATAACACGCCCTCCAAGTGATCTCATTGTCCCTTAAGTTTGAAAAGTCCTACCTACAGTGTCCACCAAAGATGTCCAGGTGACACCAAGGCCAATGACATCTGAATCTGGAGATGGGACCCGGAGCTGAGGATTATCAAAGTTCCCTGGCACTCCAAAGTACTGACAAGCTTGAAAAGTTTTCACTGTTTCCCATGGAGGCTGGAAGATTCATTCAACTGAGGTCCCCTCGATGTCCCCACAGACGTTATCAGAGGTGGGGAAGATGCTGCAAGGCCAGTGGGTGGTTCTTCAGCTCTGACCAGGAGCTCCTATAAACATCATCCCCCCTGGGCACCAGCACCAGGGAGTCTAATCAGTTGGTCCAAGTTAGGATGGAAGCCTCTATTGAACCTAAAGCTACAGAGGTGGCACACACCTCTCTCTAATCCCAGCACTTGGGAGACTGAGGCAAGAGGACCGTGAGTTTAAGGCCAGCCTGCACTGCTCAGTGTGTTTGAGGGCAGCCTGAGCTACAGAGTGAGACTCTGTCAAAAAAGAAAAATAAACAAAATAGAAAACCAAAAAAAAATCCAACAAATAATACTCCCCAAGGGATCCTAATGAGTCCCAGCGAGGCCTAAGTAAGCTGCCTCCTCTGCCAACCAGGACACCCACAAAAGCAGGCCATATGACATGGAAAGGACAGCACGCTGTCCTAGCCAGGAGGCTCGCAGTGAAATTACTTGCAAACAAGAATCAGCACTTTTACTCTCTGAGCCACGCTGTGATCTTTGTTGGTGGTGTTTGTTGTTGTTGTTGTTTGTTTGTTTGTTTAAGGCGTGGTCTCCTATTGGACTAGAAGGCAAGCCTCAATCTACCTGTTTATACCTCCTCCACAGCATTAGGAATATAAGCATGCACTACGATGCTCTGATTTTGTGTGTGTGTGTGTGTGTGTGTGTGTGTGTGTGTGTGTGTGTGTGCGTGTGTGTGTGCACATAGGTGTGTGAATGTGTGCATGTTTGTGTGTGTTTCAGAGCACACACACACAGGTCCCCATGCTAGCTTGCAAGCGCTGACCAAGCTATCTTCCAGCCCCTCTAGGCTGGTGGTTTCATTGGGAAATCAGGAAGGGCTGCTTCAGAAAATGTGACATTTACACTCCCATCTGAAAAGTGTGGGGGCAACCCTGACAGGTCTCAGCCACTAATGGAAGATTATTCTAGACTGGGAGAACAGCAGGAGCACAGGCTGGGGTAGACCAGTGTGGCTGGTCTCAAGTCTGCAAATAAAAGGTTACAGTCAGGTGGCTTTGGAAGAATCTGAGTGACTGCCTGGCTCACCCGATTGTCACTTGTGCAGTTCTGACTGCTGAATTGGGAAGACTCTCACTCCAGTCTAATACACTGAGTTATACGGCAGGATCATAAGTAACTTGTGGAGGCAAAAGAGCTTTGACAGATCCAAGTTCAAATAACACCTATACCACCGTTTAACTGCTGTATGACCTTGAAGAGGTAACCCCAACTTCATTGTGGGTTCAGTTTCTCCATCTAGCAAGGTGTTTGCTACATTAAGGGAGAACCCAATTTCAGCCACATGGGGGTGCTCCTACCCTCTGAGAAGCATTTTCTTGAGCAGCATGCATTCTTAGAGCACGTGCACAAACACACACACACACACACACACACACACACACAGTGCACACCTGCAAGTTGAAAGATTGGGAAATTTGGAGCTTTCATCCAGATAGTTGTATAACCCAATTTTCCCATAAGTTGATGGGCACAGGACCAATAGCCTGATGATTCCCAACCCTGGTCAGGCAAGGGATTGAAAGGACCAGACTGGACCCGTGTTACCTGGCTGCTGATGGAGATGCCACAGGAAGTTTATAAGCCAATGTGAGCAGAGCAGTAGCAGTGAAAGATGTCAGGAACAGCAGTGCCCCGAGGAGGACAAGGACACGTTTATTTCTGTAGATGAGAGAGCAGAGGGGAGCACTTTTCAGTTGCCTTCACCGCAGCATTAAAGAGGTGCTACAATCCCAGGAGTCCTGGGACCTTGCTTTCAAAGGAGGAAGGGGGACTTCAACGGAGCAGGGAAAGCTGGGCAGTCTGGGAGTTCCTGAACTGCCTGGTCTTGACCACTGACCAGCGGTGGGACCATGGACAGGACCGTGAACTTGGGTTTCTCTTCTAGACAGGGATAGTAATAGCACCCTTGGCTGCCCTGCCCAGAAGCTTATACTGTGGCTCAAAAGGAGCCACAGTTTCTTGGGAACATTGGGAATGTTGCTTGTCTTCTTGGGATGTCATCTACAGAACACTACATGGACGTAAGTGCTGGTTGACTTAGGGGAGAAGTAAATTGTTCAAGGTAGGATGGGACACAGATGTGATCCAGCCACCCACTCCAGGGAAGGGGAGGCAGAATAGAGCAGGGACAAGAATCCAACTTTCCATGCCACAAATGTCTGGATGTGGGAGGCTCCTGTGGGAGCAGGGAAGAGAAGCAGGAAGGCAGGGAGAGCCAATACAAGCTAAGCTGTTGAGGTGGCTGGCCAACACTCAAGTCTTCCAGAATGTTCTCTAGCTTTATGTAATGTGCCTCAGAACTGTCTGAGGGGATGAAGGAAAAATGTATTTCCCCAATATCTTCTGTTCCACATGTGGCTATGCACATTAATTCCTCAGGGTAGTGCACGAAAGAGTCCCATCCTGCAGGATTCTGCAGCAAGGAAAAAGTCTGAAGACGCAGGCTCTAAGTGAGGTACTGTCTGGTTACTTGGGACAGAACCAGGCAGATGGGGACTGTGAGGATCTGCTGTGACACAGAAATGTGGAACACTCATGTCTCCATTTTTTAAAAAGTAGTTTCCCATTGCGTTCAAGAGCTGCAAGACATTCATGCCCTTTGACTCATTAATTCCCCTCAGGATATGCTTTCTGAAGAAACGCTGGAGTTGAAGACAAATGGTTGTCATGGAAATATTCATGGGAAGTTATTTATGAAAGCATAAAATTGGAAACAATCCAGGTATAGAACAATGGGACAAGGTACAACAAGTAAATTATAGTTCATTCAGGAAATTGAATTTTAGGCAGACATTTCAGTTATGTTTACAATCAGTAAAACAATATAGTAAAATTATTTTTAAAAGTCGTGGAGTAGCATGCTGTTGTCTTTTAAGAAACTGGGCAGAGAAAAAAATCAGGAAGATGGCATCAGGGCCTGAACAGTGAACCTAGTTTGCCTAGAGTGATGGACTGGGGTGAGTGTTTTCCTTTCTCTTAATCCTAATGTTTCCTAAATTGAACACATATTTTAACAAGAAAGAATAATAAATTTCTTTTTAAAGTGGTACACTATAAATCTCCCTGTGAATTATTGAGACTGCAAAGTGTTCCCAAAACTAACACAATTAAGGTGATAGACTCAGCTGTGGGACACAGGTACATTGATGCATTGCTGAGGGCGCTGTAAATTACTTCCCTCTTTCCAGGGAGCAATTTCCCAGTATGTAACAAACACTTAGGAATCATTGCCACCCTTTGACCTGGCAATTCCACAAAGAAATATGTCCCCCATGGAAATAGCTACAGAGAAAAGTAATGTGTATCCAAGGCAGTCATCACAGCGCCATTTACAATCACGAAAAATTGGGCACTATCCAGATACCCAACCATAAAAAATGGAATATAAATCCTGCGACTGACGGGTATGCGGGCTGTGTCAATATGTGGATATGTTTATGTGAGCAGCTGGGATGGAAAATGCTGAGCGCTGGGTGTCACACCCTCTGGTGATAAATCTGGGGAAAGGAGCTGATTTATGCATGGCTGGAAGAGGGCACAGAAGGAGGGCAGTCGAGGGAGTGGTGTCTCCATTTCTGGAAAGCTGATTTCCTAGATTTTAAAAAGCTGCTTTCTACAAAGCTGGAACATCTCTGAGAGTTCCAGGCCAAAGGACGCATAGTGGGTGCATAGGGGATCTCAGACCCACTTTCTGTAGACGAAGAAGACCAACGGTGTCAGGAGATGGAACTGGAAATCGCTGGCGAGGTACCAAGTCCAGCCACTGCACTGGAAAAAAGGAGAAGAAAGTGTGGCTCCGCCCTTTCTGGGAGCAGGGCCCTTGGGTGTCTGCTGTTTGGCCTGTGAGGGAGGGTTGAGCCGGCAGGAAGGGCGGCTTCCATGGGATGAGGAACTAGACAGCCTCCATCTGTCCTCAGATCCGTCTTTGGACCAAGCCTGATGACAGATCTCGTGGACACTCAGACACATTTCTCTCTTGTTTCTAGAAACCAATATAGCTTGTCTCCTAGGACAGCCATGGGAACTGACTGGGGTCATGATTCAGGAATGCAAGAGGTGGCTGTCCCTGTGGTGTTACTGGAATTCCAAGAAGTCAAAGAGGCTCTCTTCCTTGCCTGGTTCCCACTCCCAGCATTAGGTGGAGAAATTGTGTCCTTTTGAAAGCAAGAATTTGGCTCATACTCAGTGTTCCCACTAGAACTAACATGGATGCCTGGCCAAAGCCACAGGAGCCCACCCGTTCTCCATACTTGTGGTAGATGAAGCCGGCCATTGTCCACATGTTTAATCCCAGCACTCAGGACGCAGAGGCAGGCAAATCTCTGTGAGTTCGAGCCAGCCTGGTCTACAAAGCTACACCGAAAAGCCCTGTCTCGAAAGACAAACAAACAAACAAACAAACAAAAGAGACATGTTTTATCTCACATAAAGAAACTCCTAGGGATGAGTTTCCTGTCACTTTGGGTCCCAGAACCCAAAGGGGCCCAAATTTCCTCAACATAGAGGGAAGCATTGTCACAGTTAAAAAGTCACCTTTGCCATGGAGAAAGTATGAACGGTCAGACTTGTGGGCCATGGCACCTATGCTTCCAAAAATCTAAGGTAGTATTCCGCTCAAAGAGGCTACTGCTCCTGTCCTTACCCCTGAGTTCTACAATGGCCCAAGCTAGTCTGCATCCAGGAAATTTGCCCTGTTTGTCTCCCAGAACCCTATCACAGACATGCCCTCACCTGCAAGAGGTCAGCATGGAGGCTGTCCTGTCAAAGCTGCTGGGCTTGGCCATCTCATAAATGAGTGTTTAGGGACAAGAGTTAGGGACCTGCCATTCAGCCCACAGGACATGACTGAGTTATAGCTACCTCATTTTCTTTCACTCTAAGTTCATTATTGTCCAGTTAGATTTGTACTGTTGTTGTTTTATCAACTTGATATAAGCCAGCATCTTCTGGGAAGAAGTAACTTTAAACTGAGAAAATGTCTACAATGTATTGGCCTATAGGCCAGACTGTGGGAACGTCATTTTAAAGATTTATTTATGTATTTGAGTACTCTATCTGCATGTACACATGCATGGAAAAAGACAGCATCAGATGCCATTATAGATGGTTGTGAGCCATCATGTGTTTGCTGGAAATTGAACTTTATATGACTTTTTTTAATGAACTTTTTTTATTACGTATGCAGTGTTCTGCCTGCATATACGCCCGCCTTCCAGAAGAGGGCACAAGACCTTATTATAGATGGTTGTGAGTCACCATGTGGTTTACTGGGAATTGAATTCAGTACCTCTGAAAGAGCAGCCAGTGCTCTTAAACTCTGAGCCATCTCTCCCATCCCAGTCAATGCTCTTAACCTCTGAGCCATCTCTCCCATCCCAGTCAATGCTCTTAACCTCTGAGCCATCTCTCCAGCCCGGGAAACAGTTTCGTGATTGATGAATGCCCAGCCCCATTGTGGGTGGTACCACCCTTAGGCAGGTGGTCCTGGGTTATATAAAAAAGCAGACTGAGAAAGTAATGATGAGCAGCCAAGCCTCCACCTCTCTGCTTTGGCTCCTGCCTTGAGAACCTGCCCTGACTTCTCTCGGTGATGGACTGTGACCCAGGATGTCTAAGCCAAATAAACCCTTTCCTTCCGAGATTGTTTTTTGGTCATGGGGTTTTAACACAATAGAAAGCAAACTGGAACAATGTTGAAGATGTGGATTATGTAGGCATAGATCTGGTAGCTCTAAACCAGCTCTATCCAGACTGGCTTGAAACTGATTTAGAGTTGACCAAGGTGGGGTATGTGGGGGGGGGGCATTGCTGTGATGTTTCACCCCAACATAGGCTCCCTGTATAAAGGCAAAGAAACTGTCCTTTCTAGTGTGGTGACATGGTTCAGGAGCATCGGTGGAGTGGGGAGCTGTCCTGAGATCCAGACTGTACCCCTTTCTTGCTTTATAACAAGGACCCCTACATCAACTGGTGCCGTGCACCCAAAACCCATGGAGATGGGGCTTAGGCTGGACCTTGGGAAACTGGCCGGACTCTGACGGAGATACCCTGTGTCCACCCATATGCCCTTGCAAATCCACTCTTGGAAACTCACGGCTTTCTGAACAGACACGAAGTTATTCAGCAGCAACAGGTTCGTCCACCAGACATGCCGGCAGTTATCCCAGTGGAACTGTGGAACTTCCCAGACAGGTCCCCAGGGGACAAAAGAGAAGAGTCCAACCAGCAAACACACTGAGTACAGATGAAGAAACTGCAACCTGGAGGAGAGATATGGGAGAGAAGATAAGGCCAAGAGGGTGCCACACCCTCACCTCCGTGGGCGCATGGGAAGCAGGAGGGATGCTTTAAGAAACCTGTGACATGGGTGGGCAGCCTCAAGGACCCACATGTGCTGAGCTGCCCACCACGGGAAAAGTTCTGCTGCTGGCTGCAAAAGGCATGTATGTCACCACTGAAATGGAAGCTTTGGGGAACGCCTAAAGCTAGAGATAACCCCATCAGGTAGCTCTTGCACCATCTCAAATCACAGCCCAGAGAAGTCAGGGTGACTCGTCCAGTCACTCATCCTCATCCGTAAGATGGGTACCAGTCCATGCTCCTCCCATGTGCCCCATGAGACAGAAACTTCTTTCCTCCCTCCTTCCCTCCTCTTCCTTTCTTGCTGTGCACTTTTCATCCTTCCATGCAGGATTTCACACAACTACAGACTGATGATTAATACACAGGGTCCAGGACGGGGTGCGTAGACTCCTTTTCTTACATGTACTAAGCCCTGAGGTTTGATCCCTGGCACGACATGAACTGGATATACTGTGTTAATACATGCCTGTGATCCCACAACTCAACAAATGGCAGCAGGATCAGAAATTCAAGACCGTCCTCTACTATACTGTGAGAGGCCAGTCTGGACTACATGAGACCATGTCCCAAATAAAGAGAGAAGGAAAAGTAAAACGTATATATATACACTGTGTCAGCTAGGTTTCTATTGCTGTGAAGAGACACAGCAACTCTTATAAAGGAAAACATTTTATTGGGGTGGCAGATTACAGTTTCAGAGGCTCAGTCTATTATCATCATGGCAGGGAGCATGGTGGCATGCAGGCAGATGTGGTGCTGGCTACATCTCTTTTTTTATAATTTATTTAACTTTATTTTATGTGCATTGGTATGAAGGTATCAGATCCCCTGGATCTGGTGCTACAGACAGTTGTGAGCTGCCATGTGGGTGCTGGGAATTGAACCCAGGTCTTCTGGAAAAATAACCAATGCCCTTAACCACAGAGTCATCTCTCCAGCTCCCCTGGCTACATCTTGATATGCAGGCCACAGGAAGTTGACTGAAATACTGGGGGATATCCTGAGCATATGGAACCTCAAGTCCCGCCCTCAACAGTGGCACACTTCCTCCAACAAGGCCATACCCATGCCAACAAAGCCACACCTCCTAAAAGTGTCACTCCCTATGAGTCTATGGGAGCCAATCATGTTCAAACTACCCTACACACGGTCTAGATCACTGGGGTGCAAAAGAAATAGAATAAGTCAGCTTGCCACTCATTAGGAATGTCCCAGTTGCTGTTCTTTATTTAATTTTTAATAAAGAAAAATTAACTACAAAGAACTTTAGCATTGCTTCTTTGGCCTGATAGACTCAAAATAATTATCATTTAAAGCATATTAACCAACATGAAGTTTATTAACAAGCTGCCTTCTTCTTTGACTACATCTTCAGGGACCAGTATGTACTCTATGCACAGAGTCGCTCTTAGTTGACCACTCAGTCTGGTGACTGCAGATTGGACCACATATATGGGAAGTTGGAAGAGAAGGCATGGTTGAAAGGAGGGCAACGTTGTGGCATGTGGGGGGGTGCTAAAGTCACAGCCCTTGCTGCTTGGTTGACTGGATTTTGCAGGAAGACTCTTTTTTATATATTCTATGACGGTCTCGAACTCTTGATCTTCCTGCCTCTGCCTTCCTTGTGCTATGATTCAGGCATGCATCACCATGCCCCACAGATGCCCTCTTTTGTGGTGTTTAGTTTTTCTTGTGTGTGAGGTATGCATGTGTGTATACGTATGTTTTTGCATGTGTTTTGCACATAAGAAGCAGGGTTGATGTGCACTTGCTTGATTGGACATGTGGAGGCCCCTGATTGCAGGGGAATTGTCCTTTGTCACTCTTTGAGACAAGGTATCAGTCAAACCCAGAGCTTGCTGATATGCCTACTCTAGGCAGCCAGCTTGCTCTGAGACCTCTCCATCTCCATCTTCTAGGCTAGAAATACTATGGGCTGCCATGCCTACCAAGCATTTTACTTGGGTCCCTAGGGAGTCCGTCACTTAGGTAACCCTGACCACATTCACAGCCCCTGGAACCCTCTTTTATGAGGTATTTTAAGCTATATTATGGCTCAGTGGTAGAACAAGTGCTTACTATGGACAAAACATTGGATGAGATCCCAGCACCAAATAAATAAATTACTTAGAAATTTAGGGCGGTTTTCACTCAAGTAGGGCAAAACCCATGGTCCCACAACACCTCCAAACATGTGGATAAGAGCCCAGGGCTGGGTGGGGTATGACAGATGGAAGCTGGCAAGTCGTGGAACAGCTCCACTTAAAGGTGCCCGCCACCAGCCTACCGCAGCGGAGGGCTAACCTGGGGGAACAGGCCTGTTATCTTCCCTTCCCTGCAATGGCAGCATCCTCCATACAGAGTACCCACATCAGTGGTGTGGGTCTTGCCAACAGACAGTATGCTGATGCTGTGATATTAAATAAAAAGGCGCATGCAGAACACAAGGTGGTGTCTACGTCAACTAAGCCACTTCCCCTGTCCCCCTAGCTATGAACATTTAAGTGTGGCTCCTAATTAGAGAGATCATACAGTGCTAAGACCCCAGGCATCTCCTCTATTTCCCATTCGATGATACCAGACCCGGTTTGCACCTAGAAGGTAGGCGAGTAAGTGGATTTTCTTCTTACTTTTTTTTTTCCAGACAGGGTCTCACTATGTAGCCCTGGCTGTCCTGGAACTCACTCTGTAGACCAGACTGGCCTCAAACTCACAGAGATCCACCTGTCTCTCCTGAGTGCGTGCTGGACTTAAAGGTGTGTGCCACTACTCCCGACTTGGATTTTCTTATAAAGCAGTAGCTTCCTGCCACCTCCTGACTTCCCACACCTGTCCCGTTCCGGTGCCCTTGCTGCCTGGCAGGCAGAGTGACGCTAGCGGATTGCACATCTGACACCGAGCATCCCTGCTGGCACTCTCTAATGGATTCTGTCCTAGAATAACCTCAGAAGAACTTGGGGAGGGCTTGGCTGCCCCGGGTCTGGTCCTTTACCCTCGTCCTCTCTGACCTCACCCCAGCTGTAGCCTCACCTCCACTTAGAGCTTGGGGGAGCTTCAGCTCCCACAGCCACTCCCGTCACATGCTGTCCTCAGGGTTTTGCATGTCTGTTACCCCCGAATGGGTTGCTCTTTGCTTACAGAGTTTTTCCTTGTGTGGAACATTTCTTTCAAGATCCTGGACAAAAGTCACATTCCCTCGCTCCCCTTCAGAAGGTTGGCTCACCACACTCCTGTCCTCTAAGCTCTCATTTTATGGCTGTCAGATCACTGGTCTATTCTGTGTTTACTTATATACTGTCCATTAATGATAGGCTATTTACTTACTATGTAACTGTATTTACGAGCATGTAACCTCCCACTGGAAGGATTTTATTTTTGTTGGTTTATCAAATAGTCAATAATCAAAGCTTAGAACCATACTTGGTACACAGTGAGCTGTTAATAGTGAAGCCATCTTAACCATCTTATCTCCTGTCCTTTTCTTTTTTCCCCTTATGTAGCCCAGGCTGGCCTCAAATTCACTAGGTAGTCAAGGCTAGCCTTGAACTCCTGATCTCCCAACTTCCATCTCCCGAGTGCCCTACCATGCCCAGTTTATCACCTGTCTTCTTGATGGGATAAATCCTAAATGAATAAGAACAGTGAGTTCTGAGTTCATAAATGAGAACATCCCAATTGCCAGGGCCATGGCTTTCCTGTCCCTGAGAATCTTGTAAAGGGCAAGGCAAAAATGTGGTTGGTAGAGTCTGCCTCCATTTTTCAGTACAGTTTTGGCTCAAGTTGGAGTCATTCTCTTCCTTGCTGACTCAAATCCCCACGCTTCCGGAGTTCTTTGTCTCAACAATTCCACGGCCTCTGCTCTGCCGTGTAACTCAGGTTGGGAAACTCGCTTGCCCGTGAGTTCCCCTGTCCCTGTTCTCACTGCCAGTGGCCAGACTGGCTTCCACACCTCATCCTGCCCACAAGTTGTCATCACTCATTCCCACCCAGTGCCCCTTGTGCCCCTCAACATTGGTGGCTTCTGCCAAAAAAAAAAAAAACTGTCTCCCATGTTTTCCAGGTTGTTCTGTTCCAAAACAAGTTTTCCAGGCTAACCTACCACGCTACTGGTTCCCTCGGCCCCTAGCAAAGCTGTTCTGCACCTGTGTGGCAAGCCCACCATACCACCAAACCTCAGGCAGGACATGTTGCTTAACCAGAGCCTCATACCCAAAAGACTCGGAAATCCGCCACGACCCCCTTCACCAGGAGCGGCTGCTCTGATAAAGCTCAGGAGAAACCACAAAACCACACTGGAAAGAAGCGGCGGCACTGCTCCACCCCGGCACTGCTCCACCCCGGCACTGCTCCACCCCGGCACTGCTCCACCCCGGCACTGCTCCACCCCGGCCCTGCACACTGGAAAGAAGCGGTGGCGCAGCTCCACCCCAGCCCCTCCTCACTTGTAACTTACAGAGAGGAAAGCACAAAAGGCTGGAGCACCAGCAAGGACAGTGAAGATGCTGCACTCACGGAGGGAGGGCTTACTGCCTGTTGTGAGCCTCGCAAAGGTCTTCGTGCCTGCGCAATGTCTCATCTCACAAGAATCCCACAAAGTGGCACTGGTTCCACCGCTACCGCCTCAATTTATTCCTTTCTTCTTTTTCTTTTTCTTTCTTTCTCTCTTCTTTCTTCTTTCTCTCTTTCTTTCTTTCTTTCTTTCTTTCTTTTATTTTTCGAGACAGGGTTCCTCTGTATTGTTTTCGAGGATGTCCTGGAACTCACTCTGTAGACCAGACTGGCCTTGAACTCACAGACATCCGCCTGCCTCTGCCTCCCTAGTGCTGGGATTAAAGGCGTGCGCCACCAATGCCTGGCCTTTTCTTTCTTTTTCTTCCCCTTTGAGACAGTCTCAAGTAGCCCAGGCTGACCTCAAGGTCTCATGTAGCTGAGGCTGACCTTAAACTTCCAGAGTGCCAGGACTATAGGCATAAATTACCAGATTTATGTGGTGTTTGAGACTGAACCCAGGTCTTCAAGCATTGGAGGCAAGTACTGTACCAACTGAGCTACATCCCTGGCCCCTAATTTCATTTTATAGATAAGAAAACCTAAGTACACAAAGGCTAAGACCGTCACATAGCTGGTGCATAGTTAAACTTGGACACAGGCCAGCCGTGGAATTACAGTATCTCTTCCTGCCCACTCCCAGCCCTGAGGACCATTTTAACTGTGTGGCTATGGGATGGTTAGTTTTAATATCAATTTACTACAAATCAGCCTCACTTGAGTAAGGGAGCTTCAACTCAAGATCCACCCCCAAATGTGGGTGGCACCCTATGGTCGCAGTGCAGATACAAAGGACATGCCAGAAGAAACGGTGTTGGCCTTCGGCCCTCTTGGCCTTCCCTTTTGCTGCCAAGTTAACTCACCCTGTTGCTGCTGCCGCCGTTTCCTTCACTGAGAGTAGAACCAACATTTCCAGGGTTTCCATCATAGACTAAAGACCAGTGGCTCTCCAGGTTCTCAGCACCAGTGTAGGACTTGCCAAAGCACCAGCCTTGTGGACCGAGCAACTGCCTGTGTCTCAGCCTCTCAGGTGTGAGACAACTATAGTTACTATTTCAGTGAGAGCTGGTTTAGTAAATTATTTCAATATGTGACATGTGAGATATATATATATATATATATATGCATATATATCGCAATTCTGATTCATCCTTTGGTTCTGTGTCTCTAGGGAACCCTAACTATACAGTGCAGTATAGCAATAGCAAGATGGACTTAGAGTAGGAAGCAGGGAGCTGGGTTTCTGGCTCAGTACAGCCATGTCTGAGAAAGTGTGAAAAGGGAGGCACTGGAGAGCAGAGCTGAGGTGTCCTTTCCGATTAATTCCAGCTCTCATGTCACACCACTGTCATCACTGTTCTGTAGTCTAAACCAGTGTCAGAAGTACTCCCACATACTGCTTAATAATAAAGAAGCCCCGTCTCTTGCCGTGTGTTATCTTTTCCATCACATGGGTGCTCTGACTTCCAGGGTCACTTGTAGCTATACCCGTTCTCCTGCAGAACACAGATCCCATGGAAACGGATGGGCCATCTATGGAACTCTACTGAGAATGTAGAAGATACCAGGTTTTCATGGCCTTTACCATCATGGAAGTTGAACTATTTTAAGCCAGTCAAATCAAAATATAATTAAGGAAGAAGACAATTTCTTTCAAAAACTCTTTCAAAACAAGGTTAAACATTGAGAATAGCTATTTCATAGCAATAATGAACTGGAAAAAATTACATAAATAAACCTACCTTGTAAAACGCTTGAGAAAGTATCTGAGTATGACTGTAGGGGTTATTCCCATGTTTGAGTTCTGCTGCATCTTTAGAAATGACCTTGCACTTAACCAACCACTAAGAGAGAGAAAAGAGCAGCCTTAGAAGTTACGTGGCAATAATGTAGTTCATCAGTGAGTTGCCTCAGCTGTCTCCCTCAAGACAGGCTAAGTGATGCTGCAGTGCCAAGGTACCCCCAAACCTTAAAGTGTCGGTCTTTCGATTCTTTGTTTTGTTTCTGTCTTTCTCATACAATGTGTTCATAGCCTGTTTGTCAAGACTCGGTGGCGTCTTCACTATTGGCTAATGGGACAATGAGTGCTCACAAATGACCACAGCAATTAACAGCCCAACAATTCAATGTTCTAGCCTTAAGTGACCCGTGAAAGTGGTTGGCATAAGGATTCAAGGGTTTCATCATAACACTAGTGACAATTTAGAGGCATAGCTTGTTGATTGGAGCTAGTAATGTGGTCCATCTGTAGGTCCAAGCATCTGGAGCAGGGATTTTCAACCTGTGGGTCATGACCCCTTGGGATCTGACCTACCTGTTCATGGGGATTGCATATCAGATATCCTGTATATCATATATTTCTATTACAATTCATAACAGTAGCAAAATTGTAATTACAGAGAGCAACAAAATAATTTTATGGTTTGGAGGTCACCACAACTTGAGGGTCTGATTAAAGAGTCACAGCGTTAGAGAAGGCTGAGAACCACTGACCTGGAGGACAGAAGGTCAGGAATATTTGACTAACAATGTTGATAGCTGTCGTGCTGTGTAAGCTCTCTCTCTCTCTCTCTCTCTCTCTCTCTCTCTCTCTCTCTCTCTCTCTCTCTCTCTTTCTCTTCCTCTAACTCTGCCTGTCTCTGTCTCTGTGCCTCTGTCACAGTGTGCCTGCATCTGTCTTTCTCTGTCTCTCTCTCTCTGTCTCTCTCTCTGTCTCTCTCTCTGTCTCTCTGTCTCTCTCTCTCTCACACACACACACACACACACTCTTCATGTGTGTTAGTATTCAAGTACATGTGCCCATGCCGCTTATGCAGAAGTCAGGGGGAAATATCAGTATCTTCTTCTGTCACCACCGTCCTTATGGCCTCTCACTGAACTAGAAGCTCACTACTTGGGGTAGATTGGCTGGCGAGTGAGCTCCCAGGGTCTGCCTTCTCTGCCCCTCAATACTAGGATTTCAGGTACATGCAGTCATACTCAGAATTTTCATGCATGCTAGAGATTTGAACTCAACTCCTCAGGCTTGCACGACAAGCACTCTTCCACACAGAGCCATCTCCGCATTCCCCTGGTCTTTTAAATTAATGCTGTGAAGGACTCCCGTTACTATAGCACCACACCATTTTCAAACCGCTTTCCCTAATGAGATTGTCCTCAGTTCTCCAACCATACCCAACTGCTTCTAAATAAACATTTGTTGGGAAAACAAGCAATCAGATGGAAGTTTGAAGCCTACCAGGAGAAACATTATTAATCCTGTTTTTCCAAACAGGGAAAGTGAGACTCAGACTACTAATCAGGCTGCTCAAGAGCACAGAATTCCAGTTTTGTTTCTTTGATTGTGAGACATGGCTTCACATAGGCCCCAATGGCCTCAAACCCCTGCCTCCACCTCTCAAGTGCTGTGATTACAGGAAGATCACAGAATTCTTAACTGGCACATTATCACGGCGAATTCGCCAGCCAAGTGTTCGGCTTTGAGATACAGCTTGGTGGTGAGCAGGTCTGTGAGTTCCTTGACCTTTTGGTGTTTAGCCCACTGATCCTTCTGGGCGTTTCCTCGGAATAGCAAATGTGTTTCCTGTTGCACAGCAAGGATGCCTGTGTTGGGCCCTACTTGGAAGGGATCCTGGTGGGCTGGGGAATGCCTCTTAGATTTCCTTTGAAAAGCAGCAAGCTGGATTCCTTATAATAGGAACCAAATGCATAAAAGGCATCTAAATGAAGCCATTGAGAGACGGAAGTAGGGCAGCCAATTCCGATGCTGGCCTCCTCTTCATCTCAGGAAAGGGTGAATCTGGGCCATCCTTTCTTCTCAGAGTGCCTGGCACCCACCAACAGACAGTCTTTGCTAGGCAGAGTCTTGCTCCATGTGTGGGAATGTACTGCTTAGCCCACAAGGAGGGGGCACTGAAAAGAGGGGAAACAGGCTGTGAGTCCCAGAGTCCTGAATGGACTGAGGAAGGGGAAATCGTGCATAGTAGATTAGGACCAAGAGGTAGGAAACGATTTCAAAACAGTGTCCCACAGCTCTCCTAAAGGGTAACTGGAACCCTGCCTTTTCTGTGTATCAGTGTGTAATTATCAGTGATCGGGGGGTTAAGACACGAGACCCATGAAACGGACTGCAAGCTGAGTAGCCCTAGTGCAAAATGTGTGAACCCCAGTGTGGTTTAGCATTTGGGAATGTTTGCACACATCTAATGAGGTGCTGGAGATGAGACCCAAGTCTAAGAACAAGTTCATCTGTTTCATACACTGCTGTGCACATAGCCTAAAAATAACTATAGACAATACTTTTGGCACAGCTATGTTTTATCTATGATCTCTAACCTGTAGACTTTCCCACTTAAGGTATTTTGTTAGCATGTAAAAAGCTGCAGATTTTGAAATACTTTGGGTTTCAGATTTCTAGGGATACTAACTTGTATTCTTTTTTTTTTTTTTTTTTTTTGGCTTTTTTCGAGACAGGGTTTCTCTGTGGCTTTGGAGGCTGTCCTGGAACTTGCTCTTGTAGACCAGGCTGGCCTCGAACTCACAGAGATCCGCCTGCCTCTGCCTCCCGAGTGCTGGGATTAAAGGCGTGCGCCACCAACGCCCGGCACTAACTTGTATTCTTAAGTTCTGCTTCTGGCCTTAATAGTACAGACACATTATTTTGTTTCTAGACCTTTTATTTATTATCTGCAAAAATGCTGCTGCTACTCTATTATTCAATAGTAACTGTAGGAGATGGGAACTGGAGAGATGGCTCAGCAGTTAAGAGAACTAGCTGTTCTTCCAGAAGACCCAGGTTCAATTCCCAGCACCCACAAGGCAGCTCACACCATCTGTAACTCCAGTTCCAGGGGATCTGATGCTCTCACTTCTGCCTCCTCAGGCACAAGGCACACACATGATGCATAAATATACATGAAGGCAAAACACTCATAAACATAATTTAAAAAATACAGATGGCTCAGTGGTTAAGAGTACTGGCTGCTGTCCCAGAGGACCTGGGTTCAATTCCTAGTACTCATAAGGCAGCTCACAGTTGTCTGTAACTCCAGTTCCAGGGGACCTGACACTCTCTTCTGGCTTCCCTGGGCACTAGACACATTAGTGGTACACAGATAAACATGCGGGCAAAAAAAATATACCCATACACATAAAAAATAACTAAATAAATAAATAAAATGTGTGTGTGTGTGGTGTGTGTGTATGTATGCCTTGTATATGAGGCATGTAGTATACGTTGTGTGCATGATGTATATGTATATTATATGTATGTGTGTGTGTAGTGTATGTGTAGAATGCATGTGTGTGGTATGATGTATGTGTTTGTGTGCGTTTATGTGTATGATGTATATGTATGTATATATGTGTGGTGTGTATGGTATATGTGTATATATGTGTGTATGGTATATATGTGTATGGTGTATGGTGTGTATATATGTATATATGTGGGAGGTGTTGTATATGTATGTATGTATATGTGTGCACATGTATGTGTGATTTATGTATATGGTTTGTGTTATGTATGTGTGTGGTGTGGTGTGTGTGCAGTGTGTATGTATATGTATGGTGTGTGTGTATATATGCATGTGCATGTGTGTGGTATGTATATGTGTGGTTTGTGTGTGTGTGTGTGTGTGTGTGTGTGTGTGTGTGTGTGTGTACATGAACAAGGTGCAAGTACTCATATAGAGGCTAGTGTATTTATCCCCTGCCTGGCTTCTTACATGGATAGATGAGATTCTAACACAGATCATCATGCTTTCAGAACAGGAGATCCTTCTCCCCAGGGACACACACACATATACACCACAGATGCACACATCATATACATGAAAATTTGAAATGAAAGAATATGGGAACCATACGAAGTAATAAAATAATTCCAGCACTTAGGAGGCAGAGGAAGGTGGATCTCTGTGAGTTCAAGGCCAATCTAATACACAAACAGAGTTCCAGGACAGCCAGGGCTGTTACACAAGAAACCCTGTCTCAAAGAACAAACAAAAAATAAAAACTAGAGGAAGAAAAGGCAGTCACAGACTGATGATGAGAAATGGAAACGAATGCAGACAAAGCAAAGAGAAATGTCTTTCCTCATCTCTGACCCAGTGACAGGGTGTGTGCACCCTCACCGCCTCTGCTATCCTCTCCTGCCGCCAGGGCCCACACTGTGCGTCCCAGACCTGAGTGGGCATCGGGATCACCTACAGGGCTCGTGACAACCCCGAGCTGGTCTTACCCCGGAAAGGCTGATCAGTGCATCTGGGGAGGGGCCTGTGAGCCTCGATCAGCAGCAACCTTCTAGGAACAAGTAGCTCAGCATCCACCAGTATGCACAAGCAGACAGTATCTCCCTCTGCCTGCAACATCCCTGGACATTCTGTACTTACAACCGTGCCCTGGACTACGCAGGGGACCCTATGTTACCTGGTGGTTTCTTGTGCCATTTCTCAAACTCTTAGTAGTTTTGAGAAGTTATGAAATTAAGAAAGAGATTAGGAGATTTTAGGCTGATAATTTAAGAGAGTGTAATATTGTGAGCTCTCATACTGTTTTGTTATGTTTTCTCCTTCACATTTTTCTGGAGTGATAACTGAAGATTTTAGTGTGAATATGCACTATTTTCTAGAGCTTGAGAACCACTGGAATGAATGAGTTTAACAAATAAAATCAACGTATATGAGCTGTCGAGATGGCTCAGCAGAGTAATGTGTCTGCCACCAAGCCTGATGACTCAAGTTCAATTCACAAAACCCACATGATGACAAGAAAACTAACTTTTACAAGCTGTCCTCTGACCAGCACACATATGTCATAACACATATACACCAACATACTACATACAAACACATGTGTACACACACATAAATAAATAAAATGTAATAAAGATATTTTTAAAATTCAACTTTTTAAAAAGGCCATTTTCAGCATCATTTTAACTCATCTACCAAACTGAAGATACTGCAGAGAGTAGCTGTGACAAGAGCACTATCTAGACAACATAAACAGAGGCCCAGTCCCAGGTGAATTAATGAGTGTCATGTTCCTTTTCTTAGGAAGATGAGAATGACAACCCTCCCCACACCCACACACCCCTTAACGAATGTAACAACAGACACCAAACGTCAACCTCATCACCTGATCAGGAAAAAGGTATCCACCCCGAGATAGAATGGACCACTCCGAGAGTAGAGGTACAACGGATTGACAGGCACTCTGGCTTTCCATTCAAGCACATTATCTATAACAAATGTGTAGAAAAACAAGGTCTTTTAGTTCAGCCAAAGGAAACCAGAGGACTTCTCTTTGAGAAAAAGCAAGAGGCATACTTTCAATTTCTGTTCCCACTGGGAGAGCTGTAAGAACAATGTCAGGGGTGAGCTTACAGTGGGAATGAGGGGGGTGACTAAGGTCCCTGTCACTCAGAGTGTGTGTGCCCTTTGGCTCTTATGAGGCCCACAGTGCTCTAGGACTCTCACAGAGTTAAGACAGGTGCCCATCACTTCAGAGGCTCCTGTAACTACCCTCAGCGTCCTGGCCTCTAGTTCTGATTCACCTACTTGGTCCCCTGCTGAGAGATGGCCTTTGTTACTGAGCGATGGACATCGAATTATGGATGAGTGTGTGGCAATGTCCAGAAATGGTGATTTACTGTGGATGCACCACATTTGGTTGTACTTGCCTAGTCTTCAGTAATGGGGAAGCTACCTCCTGTCACACCTAGTAGACAAGGGAACACACAATGGCTAAACATCACTGGGTACCTGATTTCTACCTAGGGGAGTGGTAGTGATTGCAGCCCTGGGAAATTTGGCATAGGAGGTCACATGCCATGGCAAGTCTCAGTGTGTCTCCAGAACAGAAGGAAGGCTGGCTGTTCCTGAGACAGCACTCAGGCTCCCATCCCATGCCCACCGCTAGCCCACATAGAAGGGGCTCTCTTTCCCGTGGACACTGGAGAAGAAGCCAGTCAGCTCCCCATACCCAAAGACAGCCAAGCAGTCATCTGACTAGTATGTCCCGAGACAATCCACAGGAGACTCAGGACTCGGATCCCGTTGAGTGTCTGGCAGGTGCGTCCTGGCAGCTCTGGAGTACAGATGGCTGGCATGTTCTTTTGCCAAGAAAAGCACTGTAGAACTCCATCCATGGCTCCTAGAAATCCTGAGCAAGAGTGGAGTTATTTCGAACCCTCCTGAAAACCAGACCCATCTACACACCACCCTTAAGTGAACCAAAATTCACACAGAGACCTCAGACTCTGGCTTAGAAATCTGAAGTGCTCAACTCAGGCTTCCACAGTCCCCTCAAGGTCTATCTCTGGGCTCTCATATCTGTTTTGGACCTTGACTCTCCCTACTAGTCTTAACCTGATATTGGTGTTCCACAATGCCTTGTGTTGCCCAAGTTCAGGTACTAGGGAGGACAATCCCTGACCCCAGGTCTGCTTTACAAAGGTCAGGAGAAAGTGAAACGTCTATGAAACCAGCAGGTCCAGAGAACAGCATTTCACCTGAAACAGTGTCCTGGGGCTGTCCCAAGGACTCTCACTTTGTACTAATGTCTCCAACATAGGCCAGGTACAAACATTAGGATGGAAGAGGTGGTATGTTAATTCAGGTTGCCCCTTAAAGTTAGATCCTCCTGGCTCTAAGTCTGGTTTGTAACCCTCAGCAAGTGAATCAACTTCTCTGCACTCCAGTTTCCACATCTGCAAACCAAGAGTCAAGGTAGATCTTGTAGTCATAGACTATGAATAACAAATGAGATAATGTTTATAAATCACTCTGAATAGAGACCACCAAGTAATGAGCATTTGCAAGATCATCTTTGCAATTATCAGTATTTGTCACAAGAATGGTTAATCTTGTCTACTTAGCTTATATCCTGGTGTTGTTGTGGTAGTGTTTGTTATCTTTGGGTTTTTTTTTGAGACAAGAGTCTGTTATACAGCCCAGGCTGGCAGTCCTCCTGCCTCCATCTCCCAAGTGCTGTATATGGATACACCCATACATAGTATGTAATCTAATCCGGGAGTCAATCGAATGAATGGAATTGGGACAAAAGACTCTCCAAAGTCCAAGTCAGCCCTGAGGGCCTCATGATCTCCTGGGCAAAGCTGAAACACTATGGTTACAGATATGTCCTTATAGAATGTATTCACAAACGACTAGCAGTGTTAGTTGTTGGAAGTTTAATTTCCTGGTCTCTGGAGATTCCGGCAGCCAGTCTGAGTTTCCCTGTGATGCCCCACTGCTGCAGGCATTGCATCCACCCTTTCATTGGCAGGAATTGTGTTCCCCAAGCCTTGGCAGTCAGCACTGTGAGCAGCACTGCCCGGCATCCGATGTCACCTGATTCCTCCCCCAGGTTCCTGTGATGAAAGGCGCAGGACCAGGGCTTGCAGCCAAGTTCTCCGACCTTCTGAGCCACATTGCCTCACATGTAGAATCCATGTAATTTTGAGCAGGGGTTGTCCCTGCCCTTTTGTCTGCTTTTGGAACCCTTTTCTCCTACTGGGTTGCATTGTTCAGCCTTGATGTGAAGGTTTGTGCCTAATCTTATTGCAACTTGTTATGCCATGTCTGGTTGAAATCCCTGCGAGGTCTGCTCTTTTCTGAAGAGAAACAGAGGAGAAATGGATCTGGGGGAAGGGGACATGGCTAGAAAGAGAGGATGAGGGGAAAGGGCAGCCAGGGTGTAATATATAAGAGAAGGATAGATAGATAGATAGATAGATAGATAGATAGATAGATAGATAGATAGATAGACAGACAGACAGATAGATGATAGACAGACAGACAGACAGACAGATAAATAGCTGCCAATAAAATTGATGCAGACCCGGGGATCTCAGTTTGGGGAGGAACCTAAGGCCCACGCTGGTGCCCAACACTTTGTACATGTGTCTGCTTTAAGTCAGAGAGGGTCCTAAGCATGGCATCTGAGGTCCAGCCTGGCATTGCTGAAAGCAATGGAGATGTGATGCCCATCAGTTCACTGAAGTCTGACAGAGCCTCTGCAAGGTAACTGGACCTGCTGCTTGCCCAGCAAGATCGGGGCACCCCAGGAGGAGGTCTTGGCAAAGACCTTCTTCCCTCTCTTCCAGCTAAAACACAGAGGCTGAGGGAAAGGGTGACTTTAAGAGGCAAGCACATATAATTGCATTGAACTCCATCAACTTAGCCCATGCTGACTCTTATTTTGCATATGTGGAAGATGATCAAGGTCAGGGTTAGAAGTCAAGGCAGATTTGATTAGGAATGGCCAAGCACTCCTTTCTCTACCGTGCTGGAGTTGGACCTGTCTACAAATCAGTCAGGTGCAAAGAAAGATCTACAGACACATCACAAGAGGTCACTGTAGACTTCTAGAACATGGGTGAGCCCATTGTTAATGTACTCAAAATATGACAGGGATGTAATGTAACAAACAGAGAATGGCTTACCTCAGGCTTCTGTGTAGATACTGAGGGGCAGCAGGGACTGACATTGCCCCCTGGCAGGAAGATCTGCTTCCCTTTCTGCATAGGAACTGGTCCCCAGAACTCTAAGCCTCTGAGTATCCTCTCAGACTATCTCTGTCTTTTATTGCTTTTTTGATGCTGGGGTTTATGTATCTGTTACTGTAATTATGTTACTGTCAATGCTGATTTTTGTGTAAACTTCAAATAAGATCAGAGAGATCAAGAAAAATCACTGCTATTCTTTCCACGTGGGACATACTCCTTGAAGCTACTTAATTGATAGTCATATTTACCCTGCCAACTCCCTGAGATTTTTAAAGTTTTTTATGGCCCTTTTTAGAGTAAGGAAAGACAATTTTGAAGACCTGAGGGGAATTTGTTAAAAATTACTCCATATAGATGGAAGGTATTTGCATAAACAGGCAATTTCTGAATGGTGTGCAGATGATAGATAGGTATGTAAGTAGATATTAGATAATGAATAATAGATTTGATAGATAGATAGATATTATCACCTATCTATCTATCTATCGATCTATGTTTCGCTTCCATATATGCAGGTGGAAATGAACCTAATATTCTCTCTCTCTCTCTCTCTCTCTCTCTCTCTCTCTCTCTCTCTCTCTCTCTCTCTCTCTCTCTCTGAGTCACACTATGTAGTCCTGGCTGGATTCAAAACCACAGAAGATTATTCTGCCTCTGCCTCTTAAATTTTAGGATTAAAGGTGTATGCCACCATGACCCTTGAAACTGATATTCTTAATTTTTCACCAAAGCATAAACACAGTGGGCCCCAATGGAAGCATCATTTTGCTACATTGGAGTTATCTATTTCCTGCTCAGATACATTGATTAGCTATGCTTGCACACTGGCTTCAGAGCTGTACATGAATCTATAGTACTAAAAATAGTCATGATCACTGCATAACTACAGTGAACCCCTTAACTCTCTGCTGACCCAGGCTTTCATCAGCACAGAAACACACTGGATAATTGTACCCGACATAAGCTGTCATTGTTGGTGACTTTGCCTTGCCTTAGCACCCTGATGGTAAACAAAGGCTGAATTGTAAACAGTGGCGATCCAGCCTCCACTGACATTTAGGAGCTGCTGGGCATTCACTAGAATCCAAACAGGAGGAATTATTTTCCAACCACACACTTCTCTGAGTCATTTCTCTGGGGTGGTCCTAGCTTAAAATGCTTACTTTTTCCTCTGCTCAGGTGTCCTGATGGGGATTGGTGAGCTTGGCAACCGGTCTGCGGGTTCCTGCTTCTTTGCCCATTGCTCTCCATGTTTCTCAAAGGCAGACTCTCACAACCTGCAGGAGAAGTCCCATGTGCCAGCGATGTCCTGAGGTCTAAGCCCCAGCCCCTGGCCACCATGTAAACAGTCCCAGCCACAGGAAGGACAAGGCCTAGCAAGGTGATGGACCTGCAGAAAGAAGAAACCTGACCAGGCCTTCACGTAACACCAAAGATGCAGAGAAAGCAACCCCAGGAGAAACAAGATCATCAACTGGCTATGGAGACACTCCTGTGACCCCAGCATGCTGGAGGCTGAGTCAGGACAGTCCTAAGTTCAAGGCTAGCTAATATACATAGAGACGTGCTGTCTCAAATAGAAAAACACAACACCAAGAAAGGGATTTTCAGCCCAGGAATGATTAGAGATGGGTCCCGCTTGAATTTGGGCTTGGTCTGTCTTCCCTGGAGGGCTTTCATACTTCCTTGTTTAATGGTGATCTCCTTGTATTTTAGTCAGCACAGGATGCTATAACAAAATGTCATGGGCTGGTGGCTTATTAATAATAGAACATGATTTTTTTATTATTATTATTCTGGAAGATGGGAGTCCCCAAGTCAAGTCACCATCAGACTTGGGTTTGGAAAGGGCCGGTTTTCTAGTTGTTGGTACGTTCTAGCTGACCTCACATTGGAGGAAGGAAGGGGTGAAGAACCTTTCTTGGTACCTTTTAGGAGTACATTAATCTCATTTATAAGGGTGGTTCGTCATGGCCTGGTTATCTACTCAAGGTCCCACCTGACTCCAACATGTTCAGGATAAAGTTTCAATGTAGGAATATTGAAGTGGACACAAAATTCAGACCACTGAATTTGGAAGCTAGACAGCATTGGCCAGTCACCGTTCAGGGAACTAAGTTCAACACTAAGTACAGTTAGTTGGTGAGAGAGGTTGATGAGAGGACACTGACACCACTCCCAGCTGGGTACCTCAGATGCCCATACTTACAGACACACGGTGGCAAACGTGTCCAGCAGAAACACCCCAGCAGCACATCGGGCCACACTTTCACAAGGTGATGAGGAAGAGTTTTTTGTAAAGAGGGAGAGGGAGGGTGCCAAAAATGAAGTATTTCTGAACCTTAGAATATCTACCAAGAGAGAAGAAGAGCCCATGTCACTGCTTTAGACCTTCCCAAGTGTATTCCTATCATTGCACACAGAGCCGGCATTTTAACGTGCATTGGCTTTTCTGAGGCTGACAGTATTTTTAGATTACAGACTTTTCATCAATTTTCTTAAATGATATAGTATGACTATCGAGTAACTATGCACATGGCCTTCACTGTAGGTGTTATAAATAAGCTAGAGATGGTTAATAGAGGATTATGTAAATTCTACGCAAACACTATGAAATTTTATATAAAGGCTTGAGCTCCTGTGGATTTCAGTCTCCTGGGGTTCTTGGACCCAATCTAACGTGAATACCAAAGACCAAATTTATCTGCTTTATGAATAGTGGGTGGGAAATAAGAAACAAAGATGCCAAAAGAGGGTAGAGACATGTGTCAGGGATTAAAGTAAATACGATCCTTCCAGAGGACCAGAGTTCAGTTCCCAGCGTTTACATCAGAAAGTTCACAACTTCCTACACATCTAGCCCCAGGGAAGCTGACACCCTCATTTGGCCTCCACAGGCACCTGTGCAAAGGCATGGGTACACACACACACACACACACACACACACACACACACACACACACAATAAATTCTTAAAACATAAAAAGGTGCTGAAAGGCACATGTCTTGGTTAGGATTTCTATTGCTGGGATGAAACACCACTAAGAAAAGGCCAGTTGGGAAGGAAAGGGCTTATTTGGCTTACACTTCAGCACTGCTGTCCATTACTGAAGGAAGTTAAGAACAGAAACTCAAATACAGCAGGATCCTGGAGGCAGGAGCTGATGCAGAGACCATGGAGGAGCGCTGCTTACTGGCTTGCTTCCCCTGGCTTGCCCAGCCTACTCTCTTATAGACCCCAGGCCCACCAGCCCGGGGATGGCACCATTCACCACCAGTTGTGTCCTCCCTCATTGATCACTACTTGAGAAAACGCCTTAGAACTGGGTCTCATGGAGGCATTTCCTCAGCTGAGGCTCCTTCCTTTCTGATGACTCTAGCTTATGTCAAGTTGACACACAAGAGCAGCCAGTATACCACAGACCTAGACATTTGACCCAGGCGGAAATAGACCAGAGTTTCCTGAACTCTCCATCCGTTGATCTCTCACATCCCTTCTGGCACATGGCCCTGGGAACGCTAAATCTAAAGGTGCTGGTACTGACTCAAGTCTGTTTGTGAGCAAGTCTCTGCAAGAGACACAAAAGCATGGAAAAAATGTGGAACAAAACAATGGAAGCCAGCCACTCCGGGATGAGCACCATCCAAAACTCAAGCTCACTTGGGAACACCAACTCAGGACAGGTCTGATGAGTCCTTGGAAGAATCGATACGTAAAGATCTTACCAATGAGATCAGTGTTCCATCTCAAATGTTTGCAAGCCGGAGTGACCCGGGGTGAAGGGAGAACTATTGGCTCCTCCCTGGAGGCTTCAGACCTGGAAGTCTGGGAGTGATCTGGGATCTACACTCTTGCAACTCCCCAGGGTCACACTCCGAATCAGGACGTGAACACTGCCCAAGCCCTGGCAAACACTGAGGATACGTGGTTCCACAAAATGGCTATACCGATTATTAATGGCCATAAACACTACAGTTCATTAAGTGACTATGAGATGTGAGGTGTGGTTCCATCGCTGTCTGTAACTTTTAACAACCTGTAAGATGTGTTCACCTTATCTTACACACAGGAGAATTTGCCTCAGATAAATTCATCAGATTGAACATATTAGGTAAAAATACAGTTTCAGGAGGCTGGAGGGAAGGCTGTGAGAGAGCACGATGTTCTTCTAGGGGACCCAGTTTTAATTCCCAGCAGCAGCAAAAGAAAAGTTGCTGATGACATTACCATAGCAACCAATGACTGGAAAGGTCTGTGGATGATGGTGAAACTGACCACTCAGGACAAACAGGCCCAGATAAGGTTGTACCTTCTGCCTCTGCACCACCATCAGAGCCCACAGGAAACCATGGACACAGAAAGGTCCAGAAACCAGTAAGCACATTGGAAATAACACTTTTGATGAGGCTGTAGACAGTTTCTTACAGGTGCCTCACCAGTATTTAGCCAAAGAACTTTCAGGAACTATTAAGAATAATCTGGGGTGGGCTAGAGCAATGCCTCAGCAGTTAAGAGCACTGACTGCTCTTCCAAGGTCCCGAGTTCAATTCCCTACAACCACATGGTGGCTCACAACCATCTATAATAGGATTTGATGCCCTCTTCTGGCATGCAGGTATACATGGAGAGCTCTCATTCATAAAATATAAATAAATAAATATCCTGGTGGCTGCAGACTGCCACCCTCTTGACATCATAGGTGACATCAATGGAGGGCTTTGGGAATTAAGAAGCAGCAAGAGAAGATGTTTCAATAAAAGATTACTGAACAAAAAAAAATCCCCTTGAATCCTAGCCAGAGAAAAACCTGTGGATAATTCAAGGAGTTGCTACTAGATAATCGCAACTGCTCAGCCAGCACTGGGGAGTCATGAGAGATCCGAGATCTGAGGGGAAGACAGCCTTTGCTGAGCCACTGGTCAGCTTGGTTCTTTTAACAGGTAAGGCTATTCAAAAACCAGCCAAGCATCAAAGAGGACCGTTTACACTGAGGGAAAGACGGTGAACCTAGATGCCAGGCAGCTCAGATTTTGATGCTTTTGGCTCCTGCCAAGCAGACAGTGTGAACATGAAAAACTGTTAGAAAAATTCTGAAGGATAGACCTAGAGCGAGCCCCTGAGAATGGAAATGTGTAGCCCCCTCTTGCTGGTGGCAGATAAAATTCGCTGGCCCGGTGTTAAACAGAACATGGTGTGTATACAAGCCAAGGAGGCACTGTGTATCTGCAACCCAATGAGACATGGTGTGTCTATAGCCAAGGGAGCATGGTTTGTCTACAAGCCAAGGAGACAAGGTATATCTGTAAGCAAATGAGTATCAAGAACTGCTGGCAGCTGCCAGCTAAGGGAGAGGCATATACTAGACACTGCTAGGTGGTTCCAGAAGCGGTCAACCTCATCAACACCTGATTTCAGGTGTCTACTGTCCAGAGCTGTGAGAAAATAAAATTCCCAAGTACCGTAGCCTGGTGATAGGAGCCTTGAGAAATGAATACAGTAAGGGATTTACGCTGGGTTTTATACCTTTTTTGTACCCAGGTTTGATCTAGAGTCCATATGCCCTGGGATGACACAATTTTATTCTCAGGAAGCCACACACATTCAGCACTCTTCACATTACTGCGGCTGAACACCTGACAAGATGCAAACGAAGGCAGGAAGGATTGATTTTTGGCTCGTGGCTTGATACCGTCCCTTGTGGCAGGGAAGTCCTGGTGCATGAGTGGCTCCCGGCTGTGACAGAAGCAGCATGAGGCTGCCTGCTCACATCTCTGTGGACCCAGAAAAAGAGAATGCGGACACTGATCTTCCTTCCTCCCTTTCCTCTTTTACTCAGTCTTCACCCCGACCCACACACTGGATCAGAGCCACACATTCAGGATGAGTCCTCCTGCAACCTCTCGACACACCTTCACAGACACTCCAGCTGAGTCCCCCAGGTGATTCTAAATGCACTCATGCTGACAGGGAAGATTAACTGTCACATCATGCAATGTCTGTCAGTTGAAATGCTCCAACAAGCCATGGAAACCACTGTGCAGCAGCATGTGCTCCAGGCTCCGCCCTCCTACCTATCCAGGGTCTCTCTCTGTCTCTCTGTCTCTCTCTCTCTCTCTCTCTCTCTCTCTCTCTCTGTGTGTCTTCCTTCTGTCTGGCACTCTCTCTCTCTGTCTCTCTCTCAGGAATGCTTTGATCATCCTCCCTTGGTCTGGCTGCTGTGGCTGCTCCTGTTCTCTTGCTCCAATGAGCAGTGCCTGTACCAACAGCAGCCACCTGGCATTCCTGAACCACATGCCCTCACATCTGGAGGGGAGATATTAGCAACACCATCAAAAGGCTTTAAGAAATAGCTAACAAATCCTTTCCAGATGGGGAACTGGTCCCCCGGGGGAAAGATGCTCTGATCTCAATCCCTGCCTCCGTGCCAAAGCTGGAAAGAAGTTCTGCTGGCCAACCCTAACTTCCCCAGCACCGCCCCAAGTCAGCTCCTCGCTCACCCTAGCCGGGGCTGGTTCTTCTGGTTTCTCAGGAAGTGACTTCTTCATGTCTCCCGGAGAATAAAATATATTTTCTCATCAGCAATGATTGTCAGCATTTCGTTTTATTTGATCAGCTCTGGCTAACACTAAGGTGGCTCACTTAGTGTTAGCCAGAAACATCAGAGTAACTGATGAATCTCCTAAAGCAAGGCAAATCATTGAACTTGTAGCCTTGATTGCTCGTTTGAAATGCTAATCTCATAATAGCTACACACCTGTCTTTGTTTTTATGATATTCATCACTTATCTATCAAGAACCAAAGTTTGACTTTGATTCATAACATGTTTCATTTCATTGGTAGTACTGGGGCTGCTCAGATACTGAACAAGAACTAGGCCTCTGAGATAGGTCACCAGCTCTTATTTTTTTATTTTTGATACAAAATGTCTTGCTATGTAGCTCAGGTTATCCTCAAACTTCTTCTGTAGCCCAGGCTGACCTCGGACTCATGACTCCTCCTCCCTTATCTTCTGGAGTGCTGGGGTTGCAGGCACATGACAACGTGCCTGGTTATTTGTTTGTTTGTTTGTTTGTTTGGCTGGTTGGTTTTGTTTGCTTGTCTTTAAACAGCACATGAAACACTAGACTGGACAGATAATGTACCCAAAGCTGTGAGTGTTATTATAAACTCAGAGGGCAAGTTAAAGTTACAAGAATAGCTTCACTCTTTGAAGGAGAACTCTCAGTCATGAGCTGTTAACTCTTTTTTAGATGACCAAAATTAATATTCATCACTAGTGATTAAAAACAAACTTTAGGCTTTAAAGCTCTTGCTTAGAAATTTTTGAAATACTTGTAAAAGATCAAACCAGTTTCCATGGGCTGAAATGTATTTATTCCTCCACATGGTCATAGGTCAGACGTGATTGTGAGGCGGTAGGCTGTTGGGAGCCTCTGAACTTCAGAGCCTGTCGGTCTCCTGCTGCAGAGACAGGAGACTGAAGCTCAGGGAGATTACATGATTTGCTCAGGATCGCACGACTGGGAAGTGACAACCAGGACCAAATGCTGGGCTCTCAGTGCTAATCCACTGCAACCTATTGGCCTCACATAATCCAAGTTTCAAATGACCTTTCTGACCCCCGAAGTTGTCAGACACACAGGCAGAACAGAGAATTCACAGTATGGGAACCAGACACTGCCCACTCCTGTCACCAGGCCTAATGAGGCAGCTGTGGGGAGACTATTTAACTTTCTGTCTTTATTACATCAGGGCAATTATCTACTGGCTATTGTTTTTCTCTTCCTTTCCATCTTCTCCACTACCACCCTAACACCTCTGTCCCCAACTTTCCTCCCCTCCATCTTTCTTAGTTAAGCTGACTGACCAAGATGAAGACTAAGTGTGGCCATGAAGGCCATGAAGGGGCTGTCTTTGTTGACCCTAAGCAGTTGGAATTTTCAAACTTCATGCTGAGACAGTAGTCTGACTGTATTTTTTTGTACTTACCCAGCTGAGACATCATGGTCACATCCTCTTCACCACAAGAATCAGGGACGCACACACCCACACTGTAGTCTGCTCCATCCTGGGAAACACAATGCCCTTTAACATTAATGCTAGTCTGTGTGTGTGGGGGTGCATGTTGAGGCCAGATATTGACATAGATTGTCTTTCCCTCATCACTCTCCATCTTAGTTTTTGAGATAGGGTTGAACCTACAGCTCATCAGTTTTAGCTAGATTGACTAGGCATGACTTCAGAGGATCCGCCTGTCTCTGACACACATTTCACAAACACACACAACACACACACACACACACACACACACACCCAGGAGCTGGGGTTATAGACCTCACCTAGCTTTTACAAGGGTGCTGCGGAATCTACCCATGGGTCTCCACGATTCTGAAGCAATCACTTAACACAATGAGCCATCACCCCAGGCCCTTGTTTTGTTTTCTGAGGCCAGGCCTCTAGTAACTCAAGAAATCCTTGATTTCTTAATCCTCCTGCCTCAGTCTCCCAAGTAGCAAAATGACAGCTATGAAGAAGCAACAAAAATAATTTTAAGTATCAAAGAGTGACAGCATTGGAAAGGTTGAGAATCCCAGGCTATGTCAGAAGTTCCAGGTCAACCTTTCCTATATAGTGAGATCTTGTCTCAAAAGCAGCAGAAGAATAAACAAAAATCTAGGCCCCCCTTCTTGTGAGATGTTTTAATAGTTTCCTTTTCTGTTTTCAGCCAGGAAAAGCAATAGAGTCATATCATGATCTGTATCTTATAGACCATCCTTCGAGAGCTAGCACAGGGGTCCCCTTCACTCACCTGCAGTATATGAAGCTTGCAGTACTGGCCTCGGAAACTTCCCCCAGGGCCCTGGGTGGAAAGGCACTCGCTGTAGGACCCCAGCCTGTCCACATTGCCATTGAGAACGTTGCTTCCAAGCTTCCCCACCGAGTCATACACTGAATTCCAAAGCAGAAGTTTGCATAATTAGTTTCCCTGTGCCACTTAGAAATGAATTATGAGGACTTGAGCTCAAATCCCCAGAGCCCAAGTGAAAAGCTTAGCTGGGAGTAGGGGGGCTTGAACCTGGAACTATGTGTGTGGGTTTCATTGGAAGCCAGAAGAGGGCTTCAGATCCCCTGAAACTGGAGTAAGAGGCAGTTGTGAGGAATTCTGGCTCTCTGAAAGACCAGCAAGTGTCAAGTGTTCTTAACCACTGAACCATCTCTTATGCCCCTCTTTTTTCCCTTTTTTTCTTACTTTCTTCTTCTTCTTTTTTTTTTTTTTTTTTTTTTTGGTTTTTCCATACAGGGTTTCTCTGTGTAGCCTTGGCTGACATAGAACTTGCTCTGTAGACTGAGCTAGCCTTGAGCTCACAGAGATCCGCCTGCCTCTGCCTCCCATATGCTGGGATTAAAGGCATGTGCCACCACCGTCCGGGACTTTCACCTATCTTGTTCTGTGAGTCTCTTCCCCCTTTCACTCTGGAGAAAGTGTGGTTATTACTTGTTCAAATATTCTCTCCTTTCCTTTGTTATATTTCTATTTCTATATTATCATCCCACTGTAGACATTTTAATCCCTGTCTCTTCATTTTTCTTTTTTTCTTCCACTTTCCATCTATTTTTTTCTGTTCTATTTTGAGAGGGCTATTGAATTGAGCTAGTTCACCAAACTGTCTTCACCTCTTTCCATCTTAATATTACTCTATTATGTAATATTATGTATCAACTGCACTATTTTTGCTATATTTAATATCTAACTTTAATGAATAACTTTGTGTTACCAATATTCTTTCATCACACTGGGCATATTTATCTGCTTATTTTAATTTCTTGGCAGCCCATTGGTTTCAATTTATGTAGTACACAGATTTGCTTAGTTCACTATCATTTTTCTCTGTGTTCACTCCCCAGGGATTTCTGCGCTGTGGTCTCTGCACACTTCTTCCCTTTGCTGAGTACAGAGAATGATGTGTGGAGTCCAAACCCCAGGTGGGCCCTCCTCTCAGGACTTCAGGGACTGTGAAGACAAAAGATTGTGACTGAGCCAGGCAATGGTAGCACACACCTTTAATCCTAGCACTCAGGAGGCAGAGGCAGGTGGACCTCTGTGAATTTGAGTCCAGCATGGCCTACAGAGGGAGTTCCAGGATAGCAAGGACTACACAGAGAAACCCAGTCTCGAAAAAACAAAAATAAATAAATAAATAAAGATTGTAACTGTCCTCGAAGGAATGAAACACCAAGTACAGGTTTGTAGAGTTGGAGAGGTGGCTTCACTGGGGTCTAGAGGACCCAGGTTCAAGTCCCTGCACCCACATGGCCGCTTGCAATTGTCTGTAACTCCAGTTCCAGAGCATTTCAAGTCCTCTTCCAGCCTCCTCTCGTACTGCACACATGTCCTATACACATAAAATATTTTTTAATTTTAAGTTAAAAAACTTCTAACATGTGATTCCATCTCTAAAATATTAAGAGACACTTGTGCCCCTCCCTTCGGCTACCAGACTTTGGAGACAGTGGACTCTGAGAAATCAGACTTTTCCCAGAGATCTCATGCTGGGGGAAGGAAATTGAGGTGGGTAAGAGGGAGCTTGTCTTCTGGAAAGAGATTTCGCACAGCTGGTAACTTGTTAGACTACCTTGCTGGGGAGACTACAGCAGGGACGATGATAATGAGCTGGACCATTTTGGCCAAGGTCCTGAGCTTTTGACTTCATTTTAAAGATGGAGGATAACTGTACTCCTGGGAATACAAGTGAACATATGCATACACAGACCCACAGACACACAAACACAGACACACACAGACACACACACACACACACCACAGGACTCCAGGCACAGCCCGCAGAATCCAGGGGCTTCTCTCAATGCTGACATCAGTTTCTTAAATGCAACTTGCCTTCCTTCCTTCCTACTTCCTTTATTCCCTCCATTCCTTCATTTATTCCTTCCTTCCTTTATTCCTTCCTTCCTTTACTCCTTCCTTCATTTACTCCTTCCTTCCTTTATTCCTTCCCTTTAAACAAACCAAGGTTTCAATAGCGCCTTCTTGCAAGCTAGGCGAGCATTCTTCCCACTGAGATACAGTCCCAGCCCCTTCTCTTTTTCTTTGTACCAGCTCCAGATTAGTTTTTTAGCTACACTCCATTCATTTATTTGTGGGAAGAGGATAAAGCCTGAAGAGGCCAATGGAGGTCAAGAATATTTCCTGGGTGATACTAATATGTAGCCTAGTGTGTCTTCTCTGACCACTAAGACTTCTGTTTGATTCCTGAGCAGGGCTTCAAAGGGCCCCTCACGTCCTGACTTGCCCTCTGGTCTCACCCTCCCAGTCACAGCCAGAACATTCTCTTTGCTCCAGTCTAAAGATGTACCAAGCTAACACTTGTTGACCTTCGAGCTTGGGCTGTCCCTCCTCCCAGTCCGCTGGCAATAACTGAGTCATCCTTCAAGTCTGGGCTAGAGGACTCACTCTCCCAGGAAACAATCCAGCTTGCTCAGTGTGTCACACCGACAGGTGTGTCATCACTGTGTCCCGTCTGTCTCCCAGGCAGGTAAGATTGTGTCCTGTGTTAGTCAGTGCACATCTTAGAGGTGGAACTTTGTGGATGTTGGCTGAATTGGCTTAAACTCTGACAAGGTTAGTCCAAATGTCCCAATCCAGCTCCAAAAAGCTATTTTGAGGTTGTCCCTGCATCACAAAATACTAGATGCATTCGTTACAGATTGGAGTGGTTTCCAAATTACGTTTCCCAGCTGGGTGGTGGTGGCACACGCCTGTAATCCCAGCACCTGGGAGGCAGAGACAGGTGGATCTCTGTGAGTTCCAGACCAGCCTGGTCTACAAAGTGAGTTTCAGGACAGCCAGAGCTGTTACACAGAGAAACCGTGTCTCGAAAAACCAAACAAAAAAATTACTTTTCCCATCACAGATCTCCCTGGGTTTGTAGCCTGAAGTATAAGAGTCTGGAATAGTAAGCGTGGCAAGGAAGGAAACAGAGTGGGAACACTATTAAGCTTTAAGCCCTGAGGCAGAGTCGACAAGGCACACGTCCTGGAGTCCCCAGTCCTTCGTGGACGCTTCCGTTCTTGCTTCCTCTCCTGATCGCTTTGGCAGTCTTCCAGCTAAGTGCTTTGGTTTTCAAATTGCATTGCGTTCCTTTCTGACTAAGGGCTCACATGACAAACTGCCCTTTTCTGGACACCGCCCTAATGAGTTCCCATCAAGAACCTAAGCAACACCATGACTTAGGCACCGTCCAGATCAAAAGGCTGTATCCTAGGGAGGGACGAAGGGCACAATATTGCACATCACCACACGTGTTCTGAATCATGTCCAAATGATTGAAAGCAACATGTTTCAATCAGCTGCACTAACTGGCAGATGTTCCCTTCTCCTGCAGTGGCGATGACATGTGGGCATTAAAATGTAGTTTCTGGACTTGTCTTCTTACAGCTCTGGGATCAAGACCAGGGCCTGGTACAAGTGAGGATGCACTCTGCTACTGAGCTCTTTCTAACAAGGTTTCTCTAAATGGCCTGAGGAACTCATCCTCCTGCCTCTGTTCCCTAGCTACCGGGGATTACAGACACATGCCTCTGTCCCCAAGTGTGGTGAATTGTAGCTTACATCACCATGCTCACCTATGATGAGGATATCTTTTAGCATGGAGCACATCATCCTATCACAGTATGGATGTTTTGTTATTGTTTTGTGTAGAATAAGCATTCTACCACTAAGCCACACCTTCAGTCCTCCATGGATGTTTGATAGTCACAGAACCTAAAACTTTGTAGGGTTCTACTATATCACCCTCTCTCTAGTGGAGGTTTTCTTGTTCTCTATGGTTTGGGTCCTGAGCAAAAACAAGCAAACAAACAAAACCTTTCCCAACAGACAGCTGGGTGGGTAAAACAGGCACTAGATAAACACTGAACAATCAAATAGATTGGCTGAACCAAAACTCCATTGGTAGAGTTCTTGCCTAGTATATGGAAGACCCTAGCTTCAATCCCCAATATCACACCACACACACACACACACACACACACACACACACACACACACACACACACATGCATGTGTGCAAACAACACAACAACAAAAAACCCATGCTATGGTAAACTGCAACAGGCTGCTTCCCAAAGGATACCTACATTCTAACAGGTTGGTGCTGCCCTGTGGAGTGTACACTATCAACTGCCCCCTCTGACAAGGGTCCCCTGTGGGGCTTGGTATCTAGGAAAGAGTCGGAAGCATACAGACAGGATAAAACAGTGACTACAGGAAATAAACGGCGAAGCCAAAGAGCCTATAGAGTCAAAATGGGAAGCTGGGCATCTCATCATAGTGCAGGCTAAGAGACTTGAGGTGGGGACCAGGATGTGAAGGGTTAAGACGTTTTTGGGGGGAATAGTGCTGTTTGGGAATGCTGTGAGAATGAGATAATCAGATCCAGACATGTACTATAGACTGCTTGGGAACTCCTGGCTACCCATCATCCCCCACCACTCTGTCTGAAGAAATGAAATGGAGACAAAATCGGAAGTCATGAGGTGTACATATGGTGTAGCTTCCACTCAAGGCCTCAGGTGTGGACAGCATCAGAAATGGGCAAGCTTGGACTTTGACAGATGACTGCAAACAGTACCACTATATTTTAGGCTTGGACCACTCACCAGAGATATATGGGCTTCTGTCTTTCCACTCCAGGCCATAAACACATGATTTAATTCTGCAGAGTATGTTTGGGAGGTCAGAACAGCCTGTATTAGCATCCGGCTTCTCGTTCTATAGCTGCCTTGACAGTCCCCACACTCAGAGGAGCTTTAACCTTAGAAACCTGTTCTCTGATCCTGGAGACTAGAAGTCTGAAGCAGGGACAGGGCTCTGGGGAGTCTGTTCCAGGCATCTTCTAGCTGCTGGCTGCTGGCACCTCTGCCATTATGGCATGTTCGTTCCCTGTGCCTGTCTATGTCCCGATTCCCCCTTTTAAGAGCAATGGTCCTTACACTGGGACCCACTCTAGCCTCACTGTTTGACTGTAACATTATTTGACTATTTACAACATAGATGCTATTTCCAAGTGAGAACTAGAGGTCAAGGTGTAAGCAAGGGTATTTTTGTGTGTGCATGCATGTTCATGTGCGTGCAGGTGCACAGGTATGTAAATGCATTTATGTGTGGGAAAAGACCAGAAGACATGATAACCTCAGTTGCCATTCCTCAGGCACTGTCCACCTTGTTTGAGATAAGGTATCTCATTAACCTGGAACTCAACAAATAGATTGCACTAGCTGGGCAGTGAGCCCCAACCAGGACTCTCTCTCTTGGCCTCCTCAGCACTGGGGTTATTAGTATGGACTACTAAACATAGGTCCTTCAAGAAAAGTGTTCTACTAACTAAGTTATATCCCTGCACTACAAACATATTTTTGTGAAGACACAATTGCGTCTACATCTTTCAAGACAGGCATATTATAATTTACACTGGTACAAAGGACATGTGGCACATGATCAGTTTGCAAGGGCTGCCATAACAAAGGCCACACGACCCCTTCACCAGCAGGTGTACTTTTCCTCACAGTTCTGCAAATTGGTGCATCAGGGATGGCAATGTGGGCATGACTGCTTTCTTCTGAGGCTGTCCTCCTTGGTTCAGATGGGCCCTTACGTGCACCACATACCTTCACATAGTCCTTCTTCCAAGCATGTCTGTGTCTTAACCTGGCAATGGACTGGAGATCTATTCATTTCATTTTAGCTTAATTTGCGGCAACACATTGTGATGCTTTGAGTAGGAGTTCAAAATACGAATTTAGAAAAAACACAATTCAATCTATAACACCACAGGTTACAAATAAAAATGAATTCTATAATACTCCTCAGTACAAATTCTGAAAGAAAACTGGTTCTCACAGACTGCTTTCAATGAATTTCCTGTTCTCTTGTAACCACGCCATATGGTTTCTGCTCACCAACAGGTGTAATCCCAGCATGAACATTGGTGGTTGTTTCATTTGCCTTAATAAATAATACAAAGTTGAAACAAAATGTATGACAAAGCTGCATGCATTTGTGCTTGATTTGAGCAACTTATGTACTGAATCTGGTAACAGATTGATCACTAAAGAGTGTTCCCTTTTTTTTTTTTTTTTTTGCTTGTTCAGTATTGAAAAATAAAGGTGTCCTAACTTGCAGCAACTTCTCGGTACCTTTCTAGCATGCTGACTCTGCCTCCTGATACGATGTACCCGACGATGGAGGTAGAAGGCCAGTGTGGAATTGCACAGCGGGAATTGCCACTGTACTAACTCAGTCCAAGCCAATAGCTTCCCCATCATAGACTAGCCTGGGTGTGTAGCCCAGTGATACAGCACCTGCCTAGCTTGTAGGAGGCTGCTAGAAAGAAAAAGAGTTTGCCCTTTAATCCATCCTTCCCGTTCAGAGTCTCTCTAGACCATCACCCTTTATTTTCTACAAGACCCAAGCATCTCCACATAGATTTCAAGGGTCTTCTTGCCATGCATTCCCTCCAGCCCTGGCATGTAATCCAGCTCCACACAACCCAAGCCCATTACCTTGGCTTTGGATTGGATATGGTATTTTAAAGTATAGTTATGCAATAAAAGGCACAAATAACAGAAATACCTGTGTACTCATCACTCTGATTGAAACAAATAACCATGAGCAATTATTTGAAATCTGGTATGGCCCCAGCTATACTCACCCTCACCACCACCGCCATGCCAACCCCAGACTGCAGGTGGATGCTGTCATTTAAATACCTCCCTTAACACTTGCACTGCACACAACTAGCAGCAGACAGCTTTTATTTCCTTAATTGGTTTAAGTTTAGGTACTTTATTCCCCCTTGACGCCATCTCTCTGGCTGGCTGGATACTGATAGACGTACCTCCCATTCCTTTTTGTGGCTGCACTTTGTCTTGGTCTTTTCTGGTTGCATATTTTAGGCAATGATCACAGGTAAGGACTTGGCAATGTGAAAGCCTTCACCTGGAGGACTATCTTTCATGGTATCAGAAGGTACCGTGCAAGCTTCCAAAGGAAGGAAATAACCACCAGTCCTACCCAGCTGTGATGCCCGTGAACCACAGTAACAACCAGCATGGCATGATAACCCTCAGGGTGCAGAAGTGGCATGTGTGTGTACCTTTGCACTAACCAACAGCTCTCTGATTGGACTTAATGCCTGCTTAAAAAGAGGGAACTTGTACCTAGTACTGGAAACCTAGCCAACCCCTCAGGGCCAGTGAGGTCATGGATCTTGGAGGAGAGTCTACAATCACCACCTTACTAAAACAACATAGTAAGTACTACGTATTTGTCTTTATACCCACAGACAAATATAGTCTTCACGCCTCATCAAGGAACTTCTCTTTGCAACAGAAGGAAACCATTAAAAAAATTAAAAAAATTAAAATGCAAAGTTGAAGAGCCCAGGCCCAAGAGATACATCTTCAACACAACTACCAAAGCTAAACTCAGGGAACGTTGTGGAAATAGGGCAGAAGATTGTAATAGCCAGAGGGTGAGGGAATTTGCTTTGAGAGTGTGTCTTCTAGTAATGTCAGAAGCTACACTCATGAAGTCTCACCAGCAGGACTGCATAAACATGAGATGAACACGAATGATACCAATAGACACACTAAAGTGGTGTGAACCCTATACAAATAACTAAGGAATGCTGAGGGCAGGAGAAACAGTCTTCCCCAGGGATACCAATTGGTTATCCAATACCAAATGATCAGTCCTCAAAACATACGTACAAGTAACATCATGCAGACTGAGAAAGGTTACATTTATGTATTTAGGAATATATATGTGGGCAGAGACAGGGGAAGGGCTTTGGAATCAGGTGACATGGGCTCAAACCGTAATTCTACAACGTAATTCACACAAACACTTTGCATCTCCATGACTCTGTATCCTCCTGCACCAACTAGACAGCAGTGACTTTCCCTTCCCATGAAGGAGATTTGAAAAGGCCAAAAGGAACAATTCCTACACAAGGTTCTAAAGGGTATCCACTGCTAATGTCAAAGTACTCACTCTTCACTCCTCTTATTTTTCCTTCCATATGCCCACCAGGAAACTTCTGACGAGAACCACGGTCAATAGCACATTCTGTACTAAAAATCTCAGACAAATGTCAAAGCAACTGTGCCAAGCCACAGTCACTACAGACAGACACATTTATCCATTGAAATAAACTGACAGTCATCTACCCCATCATGTTTGGGGGGTATGCAGGCGTATGTACATAAATATGGAGACCAAAGGACAACCTTAGTGTTGTCCCTCAAGAGTCATCATCTTGATTTGGGGAACAAGTGTTTCACTGGTCTGAGACTCGCTGCAATCCAGCAACCCTCAAGAATCTACTCTCTTTACTTCTCCAGAATAGGAATTACATGTGTGGACCACCACACCCAGCTTTCTTGTGTGGGTGCTGGGGTGGAACTTCAGTCTATTGCATAGTTAAGTACCTCATAACTGAGTTGTCTCTATAGCCTGAGAAATTTCCATTTTAATGAAAAGAAAAATGAAAAAATTAAATTCCCAGGTACCTTTAGACAGAACATGGGTAGGGCTCACACGGGTAGAGACACTTGCAAGGCCAACAGTGTTCACGTGGCTGTGACTGTTGATGACTATGTTGTGCTGCTACCTCAGTCCCAGAAGCCTGTGCCTGCCGTCACACCTTCTGGAGTCTCTGGGACAGTTGCCTGGCTCAGTTGCAGCATCCCCTATTACTATCGCCAGCATTGTTATGGAACATAATCAATTCCAAAATAGCACTTAAACAATATATCTGTTGAATTAACTGAGTTCATATTTTGCCACCATTTCATCAAATCCTGGGCTATCTGACCCTGTGTAGAACAGGAATTGCTTCAGATGTCATGGCATTTTGAATTACCCAAATGGTCTATTTTTAATCCCTGTTATGATACAGGTGGTTTTAAATACAGAACAAAGTGGCTGTGTATTCTAAATGGAAATGCATATGTTAGCCTATCTGGCTTCAAAAGGAGTTTTTACGTTTCTTGTTCCATCAGCAACAACAATGAATCTCACTCCTGGAGAAGGCACCCTTGATTTCAGCCTCTGTTCTGGCAGAAAGGTATGCATATAATTTTGAGAAACACACAAAAACCCAATTCCTTGCCAAACAAGGAACATGCAAAGAGGTCTCATTGCTCACCTGAGCCCATGCATTTTCTCACACACACCTTCGAATCTGCTACCATCAGCACAGAACAGAGGAGCTGGTTTCACTAAATAAGAAAACAACTCACTATCAGAAGCAGATCAAATGTCTCAAAAAGGAAACAAACCCAGGCTTGTCATGCAAAGTAAAATGCTATTGATTTCATTAATTAAGTACACAGTATTTAGGAACAATTCTTCCATTACAGCAGCATTTCTAGATTGACTTAACAGACTTCTGCAATGGGTTTGCCTTCTCTTTCCTGCTTGGTGCCTTTTAAAATTCTCAAGAGTTAGTCTAGAATGCTTCTAGCAAATATGGCAGACTGTTCTATGCTTGGCCACAAAGAGAGACAGGGAAACCTACTTACTTCTCAGAGCGTAGTCTTTGGGCTCCAGCGCATTCAGATCAGAAAGGAATTCATCAGTGTCTTGCATGCACTTGAGAGAAATATTTCTTGCAGGAGAAACAAAAGGTAACATAAAGTGCAGGCCAGCCAGCAAAGTGAGGGCCATCATTTCTCAATCTGCCACGACTGAACTCCTTTCTTAGACAAAGAGCCCAATATTTATGAAGCCCTTGTCTGTAATGTGTTGGGGGTAAATGTGACGTCTCTCACTGCTTAACAAGCAAAGAACAAACCGCATCTCCTCAGCCACCTGCAAAGCGGACAGATAAACCATGGAAACCAGTTTATATACAATTTGTTATTGTCCGTGAGACGGCGCTGTGGACGTGGTGCCGCTGGCCACCTGGCTTCCTTTAGTTATGCAGATTAACGTGTCCAGGACACAAGAATAAGCCTTGGGTTGTCTCTGGGTAGATGGTCTGGTATATCTCTCTGGGTTTTTAAAAAACAAAACATGTTGATGATGTGAAGTAGCAATATTTGGGCTTTGACCAAGAGTTATGATAAATCCAACCTGTAAAATGGTTGGCTGGATGTTAAGTAAAGCCGGGCTTCTCTGTGAGCAGCAGGTAGGGTCATACAACTCTCAGTGGATTTACTGGACTCTGAAAGCAGTGTCAGCCTGGGCGTGATGCAAGTGTCCACAAGAAGGAGTTCTCGCTCCAGGCAGATATACACACAGCCACACTCTAAGGTTTAGAACACACATCTGGGAAAGGAAGTGATGCTGGTTGTTGGTTGAGCTTTAAGAAAACAAAACGTGTGGGTCACAGGTAAACATGCTCACTCGAGAAAGGCTGTCTTTAAATAGTAGCTGCTGCGCCTCCACTTGAAGAGTGACATAGCCACACACCTTGTTTACACTGCCCAAATACATCTGTGGGGAGTAGAGACTCAGTTGTACATGCTTCCACATGTTTAAAGCATCTTCTACCATCCCGGGCTGCTCGTCTGGCCTCAAAAGGGTACACACATGTGTACTCATACACACACACACACACACACACACACACACACACACACACACACACACACTCACACTGTCTCTGTCCTCCTTTTGATTCCTTTGTTCTCCTGGGTCACTCTGTCTGGGGAATCCTACTCGCCATCCTCCTCTGAAGCTGTACTGGGGGGAGGGGAGGGGGGTGCTGGAGAGATGGCTCAGTGGTTAAGAGCATCGACTGCTCTTCTGGAGGACCCAGCACCCACCTGGCAGCTCACAGCTGTCTGTTACTCCAGTTACAGACACCCTCATACAGGCATACATTCAAGCAAACCACCAATACACAAAAATAAAATAATTTTTTAAAATTATAGTGTTTATGTCTGGACATGGTAGTGCATGTTTTTCAACACCAACACTGAGGAGACAGAGGCGAAAGTTCAAGGCCAGCACGGCCACATAGTGAGACCCTGTCTGAAAAATTAAAGGTTGTTGTTGTTATTGTTGGTGGTGGTGGTGTGCGTGTGTGTGGTGGTTGTAGTGTGTGTGTGTGTGTGTGTGTGTGTGTGTGTGTGCGCGCGCTCGCGCGCGCTCACAGTGTGCACACATGTGGAGGTGGAAAGCAACTTTGGAGGACTCTGTTCTGTCCTTTTACCTTTGTGAGGGTTCCAGGTCTTAGACTCAGGTTGTCAGGCCTCTGTCACGGAGGAGTCTGTTCTCTCCATTTACCTTTGTGAGGGTTCCAGGTCTTAGACTCAGGTTGTCAGGCTTCTGTCACCCTTCAAGCCACCTCACAGCCCAGTTTCAACTTACTCTCTAAGTCACTCTTGGCTCCTCTAGGAAACCCTCGTGGGCTCCCTCCCATGAGAACAGCCACTTCCTCTGCCTCCACTGGCTCTGCACACTCTGTAGTCACGTGACAAGGTTTACTCTCTAGCTCTGTCAGACGCCAACTCAGTTTTTTAAAATTCTTTTTTGGCATGGTTCTGGGGATTGAACCTAGGGTTCCATTCCTGTTGGGAAGCACTCCACTAGTGGGCCCTCATTTTACTTTTTAATTGAGACAGGGCCCTACCAAGTTGCCCTGATTGGCCTTGAACTCACTCTATAGCCTAAGCAGTCCTTGAATTGTCATCCACCTTCTTCACCCTCCCAAGTAACTGGTCCAGCCCCCTCAGGAGCTAGCTCAGTTTTGCTCTCTGTAAAAATTATGTAATTACTGCCTCCCATAGGTGTTTGTAGGATGGAGTTAGAGTTCAGGACGCTCGAACACTTAAACTCTTCAGTCATAAGCATCATATTACAGTTAGTTTTCCATGCCAACTGGTTTTGTTTTTGCTAACCACCTCCCTTGTTTTGTTTTGTTTTATTTTCAAGTGTAAACGGTACTGGGGTCATGGTAGAATGCAAGAATGATGTCCTAGGTTCAATACCAAGTACAGTGCCCCCACACCAAAATGAAGAGGGAATTGGAAACAACAATGATGACAACAAACAAACAAACAACAACAACAAAAATGAGGCTTAGCTAAGTTGAATATTTATGAATGGTTGAACAGAAATGTCTTGGAACCTTGGATTTATTCATTAAATAGTTGCTGATATACACTCATCAAAAATCGGAATGACTGGGGCTGAGGCCATATAGCTGAGTTGGGAGAGCCCTTGCCTAGCATACAAAAGGCCCTGGAGTGAATCCTCAGCATCCCAAACCAGGTGTGGTGGCACATGCCTGGAATCCCAGCTCTGAGGAGATACAGGTAGCTGGATCAAATGTTCAAGACCAGCCTAGCTACAGGACACAGTCTCAACAAACAACTGAAACCCTACTTTTGGATAATTAATGGTTTAAGGTCCTTCCAATATTTCTCCCAACTCCTAAAAAATTAAAATTGTGACTAGTCGAGGCTTAAGGAGACCCAGTCATTCGCAAGGGTATTTTAGGCCCCTGATTGATGCAAGACACCACGCTGGGCACAAAAATAGGACAGGAAAATAAACATAGCCTTCCTTTCCTGCCAACTGGCCCTCATCCATTTCCTGAAGCAGCAGCCATCAGCTGACCAATGTTCTGAATGCCAAGGTCATTTCCTTCTACAGCTGGCTATGCAAAATGAAAGGCCACAAGAACTCATCATTTGGAGATGGGCTGGGGGAAAACAAGGACCTGTCCTTGCTGACAAAAGTACATGTCATGTGAAGGAGAAAGTGTCTCTACTGCTCTGGGGTGGAGATGTGAGAAGAAAGGTGACTTTGGATTAGGAAGCAAGCAGAGCTACAGAAAAGCTGAGACGCTCATCCAGAGTATGACAGACAGTCCGCAAAGAGACAGCTAGCACCAGGCAGGGGTGATGCTGCAGAGAAAAATAAGAGGGAGGTTAGAGTAGCCAGCATGTGTGCAGCTGACTGGCATCCTTCCTCCTTCCTCCCTCCCTCCCTTCCTCCCTCCCTCCCTCCCTCCCTCCCCCTCCCTCCCTCCCTCCCTCCCCCCTCCCTCCCTCCCTCCCTCCCCCTTCCCTCCCACCCTCCATCGATCCATCCATTCTTCTTCAAAACAGGATCTTGCTAAGTGGCCCATGATCTTCCTATCTCTCCTTCCCAAATGCTGGGATTTCAGGACTGCCCCATAACCACCCACCGGCAGGCTCACGGTTTAGACAGGGAACTAGAAAGAGCTCTTGTAGCAGAGCTCTTCTGAGCCGAATAGAAAGATGGGGAAAGCTTTCCTGGGAATAACTGTGGGAGAGCATTGCATGGCAGAGGAGGGGCCGAACAGCCAGGCGAGGTTGTACGATGGGAGTGCAAGGGATGCATGAAAAGAAGGGGGATGGGTGGGAGGAAGCAGTGGGAGATGAGGTCCTTCCAGTGGCAGGATGTGGGGGAAGGAGATGGGGATCAACTTCATTTGCAGTTATCCTGATGGCTCTCTTCTAAAATAGCCAGCATTGGTATGTTGCTTGGCGGATGTCTTATTCAGAGGGCAGCAGAACTTAAAACTTCAGTGTCTTATTCAGAGGGCAGGAGAACTTCAGTGCCCCACAATGTAAGCATTCAAGATGGCTCCGAAGATCCCTTTAAAAATATGCCTGCGTTTGCGTCCATGGCCATGGAGACTAGAAGAGGGTATAAGGTCTCCTGGAACTGCTTGCTGTTTATGAGGCACCCAACATATGGTGCTGGGAGCCAAACTCAAGTCCTCTACAAAAGCAACCACTCAGTAACTAAGCCATCGCTCCAGCCCCAGCTCATGGATCCCTTCAAGGTGACCAGCCTCTTTCCTGCTAACCCAACAAGGGCAACCGATGCAGTCATGGCCACCAGCACGGATACATTTCAAATGCCCCCACTTCTACAGAAGAGTCGAAATAGAATGAGTGCCAGGTGAGCGATCTTTTGGCCTCCACCGGAGTATCCACATCTTTCTCCTGCCAAGATCCACACTACAGCAGGTTCCCTAGGGCAGCTCTGTTTTTTGTTGGTCCTTATCAGTCTCACACTGTGCCCTCCAATCAGTAGATCTGTGCCTGCCCTGCACTCTGCCACACATGATACTCTCAGAAATAACTGGTCTGGTTAATCCTAACATGACAAAAAGATCAAAGAAAAGCTTGGACTAAGCCTACAATTTCTGGAACTAAGGGGAATGTCTGTCATGGGGGACTCTGAAGGCAGTATTTTCCCACATAGTCTTGCAAATGAGGTGGTTGTTCTTGTGTTTAGAGACAGCTGTGACACAGAAGTGCAGTGCAGGACTCTCAGAACAGCCCCACGATAAACAACTTGCTGCAGAAAAAGTCAGCCGAACAACGGTTCCTTTAAACACTGTAATATATGAGTGATATAAACAGTGTCTGGTTGTGACTCGGAGCTAGCCTTATGGGCTGAATTTAGAAGCTGGCAAAGGATGTTTTTCTGGGAAGCACTGTTCTATTTCCTCAAGTAAAAATATCCACTTGGGGCAAGGGAGGAGACAGTAGTTCCAGGACAAACCTGGTGAGTTAATACCTTGGTCCATCTTCACCCTACCTGGAAAGATGAAATACATGCTGGCAAGAAAACAGGTAGCCTCCGACCACTGCCTATGTTCTGGCAATGGACACGGCCTGCTCCTGCGATGCCTGTTACTGAGGGGCCCTGGTCCATGGCCGTCTGCCCCAAACTGCTTAGTCTTCTCATGGTTGAGGGCAGATCTGCACTTAGCCAACCCCCAAAGGCCTCAGCATCCCTTGCGCAGTGCACAGCTATGTAGAGCCCTTTCTGAATTCTCTTAAAAGTTAACCCTTTCCAGGACCTCGAGCAAGTCTCAGTGGTTAAGAAAAGCATATTCTGCTCCTGCAGATGACCTGAGGTCGACTCTCAGCACCCACACTGGGCCTACTCCCACAGCTGACTCCAGCTCCAGGGGATCCTGTCTTCTGGTTCCATTGGCAGTGCACATCAGACGTAATTAATTTTAAAGTTACATACGATTTGATAATATCATTAGAGTTAAACCCTTTCTAGAATGCTATGTTCTGCTGGGAAATTTACTAAAGCAAGATCTTTGTTGGACACCCTGGATCTGATCTTCCAAAGAAGGCAGAGAACGTAAGTGAGAAGAAGCCCAAGGGAAAAAAAAAGAGCTGGTTATAGAAGTTTCATCACATAATATATTGAGGGGGTTTGGTTTTATTGGAGACAGGGTCTCACTCTGTGGCACAGGCTGACTTTGAAATCATTACATAGCCAGCCCAGATCAACCTAAAAAACCAACTGCTTTCTTCTTGCCTTGACCTTCCAAGTTGTGGCCTTCCGGGTGTGATGTTTTGAGTGTATACTAAGATAATCATGAGAACCCATTAGCACTGCAGAGAGAGTTAAAGTGGGCGTGAAAAGAGAACACTCGGGAAGGGCTGGTAGTAACCAAGTTTCAAATTAACCTCATGTCCAAGCCACATAGACCAAGGCCCACGTATTCAGAATGAGTGTTTTGGGGTGGTGATAACTACAGAATTCCTGGCTAGTCTAGAAGTTCTTAGGAACAGTAGAGATGCACGTATTGCTCTACATTTTCCTCTCACAACTGCTCTTACTGTGGCCCACAGAGCTTGCTTTCTTTTCCTTTCATTTCATGTATCCAACTTCTTGATTTCCCTTTTACTTTCTAACTGAACATTTCAAGACTCCTCTTACTATCTTCACATGTTGTGGCCAGGAAAGACACTTGATGTTTTCAGTCCTTCCAAACTTGCTCAGACTTGTTCTGTAGCTAATATAGTAACTGTCCTGGAGACCACCTCCTGAATGTTTGAACGGATGTGTGTTCTGTTGGTGCTGGATGGAACGTATGGTAGATGTCTTTTTTTAGGTCTGTTTGGTCCAAAGTGTGACTAAAGGTAAATGTTTCCCTAATTGGCAGGTCTGGGAATGGCCCTTGTTGATCGTGAGGCATTAAAGGTTCCTGTTATTTTTGCAATATAGTAGCTTTCCCTCCAAATCTATCACCATTTCATTAATATATGTAGGGACTCAGTGTTGGGGGTGCAGTTACATTTACAACTGGTACAATTCGTTGATGAATTGGCTTTCTTACAGAATGCCTTTTATCTCTTTAGTTTTTGACTTTGCCTATTTTGCCTAAGTGTCCCCACCCTCTCTTGTTTCTCCCAAGTGAACACCCATCACTTCCAGTCTTTGTGTACCTGTAAAGGAGATTCTCCTGTACATAGCCTACAGTTGAGCTTTTAAAAATGTCTCAGCTTGCTGCTTCATTGGGGGATATGATGAGTCTGCAGACACAGCAGCAGTAATAGTTAAGACCTTGAGGTTACAGCGGCTCATGTGTTTTCTGGCTTGGGAGTTCTATTTCACTCTCTTCCTCTTGCTGTCTTCCTTTGTGGTTTAGTGGTTTTCCATTGTGGTGGCTTTGAATCCCCATTCATGTTTTGTGCATCTGCAGGTTATGTAATCACACCATTAGGCTTACAATTGACTCAGTGACCGTGTGAGGCTAATGGGGGGGGGGGAGGTGGAGCATCAAGGAGAAGCAGGTTGAAGGAGCCATTTAAGGAAGGTCACACTATGCTTGAAGAGGTCAAGGTTTTACCGGAAGACCCGAAGTTTGGAGCTCTGATCTGTAGCCTGCTCTGTGTGCATCAAGCCTGCTCTGTATGCATCACAGCATGAGAAACCCCGAGCATCTGGCGCACTGTATTTTCAGACCATCTTCCTGGGTTAAAAGCTCTACAAGTCATAGTAAGCTCTTCAGCACATTTTCTTTATTTCCCCTTCCAAGTGGGCATTTTTCTTAAGTGTTCACAGCCTGAGTCTATTATAAGTCTATTTCATGCTCATACTCGCTGCCCCAAGTAGTCAAGGAGAAATTCCAGAGTTGGTCAGACACTGAGATGGGTTCACACAGGCCCAGAGATGCTGGTGAAATGTCAATGCCAAGGGCATGGCAGGAGTGTACATAGTCTTCATCTGTGGAAGGAGCAGGAATCTGCTGAGGGTGCGGCCATGTGGACAGAGCCTGCGTGTTTCCTTTCTGTGTTCTCTATCACTTTGCGTCTATTCTTCCTTGGGGGTCGCCGTTACTATTACTAGTAAAACCAAGCTGCCCAAATAGAGGCACAACTCTGTCTTAAATGTGTATCTAAAACTCAAGCTCGTCTCAATATTTAATCTAAGCCTCCAGGAGAAACACTGGAATCGCCTCCACTTGAACTTTCTCAGCAGGCTTCTTTTTTCTTTGTCTCATTGCATGAAGCCCTCTCCTCCCTACTTCAGGGACTTGACTCTGCCCACTTAAGTCCAGTCCTTAGCCTGAGCTAGCACCATAGCTCCAGCAACGATTCCTGTCACAGCCATGTGCTGCCTTCCGAGCACATGGGGAGGTACTCTGCCTGCCTCTGGGAGCACGCCACTGGTTTTGGTCGATGACCTAGAGGACACACTGCTTTGACTGTTACTTCCGGGCCAGTACAATTAATTGCACTTTCCCTTTTCAGCTTCTGTCCCAGCGGGAAAGCGGAGTCAGGCATTACCTAGGAGCCAGACCGCCTTCAGCCTACTCAGAGTGGACACTGGAAGTAAGAAAAAGAAAAAATCTTGGACAAGCCATTTGTTTGCTGTATCTTCTCTCTCAAACACCTACACTTAGGACCCAGCATATGGATTCTTGGTCAGCAGTCTGTGTTAACTCAAATATGCATGATTTAATCAATGGTAAAGGACACTCCATTCTGACTCTCCCAGGTCTCTATTCCCCTCTGGAATTTCTATTAAACCAACACAGGGTTCTCTCATTTTGTCCTTCTTGACTTCTTCCCTGACTACCACAAACTGCAGCTCCTAGTCACTGTTGTAGTCTGAGGTACTGACCGTCCAGGTTTCCCTGCAGGGTGCAGCATTTGATGGATTTGTGACCAGGGTTTGGGTTTCTCTGTTTTGAACCTCTGGGAGTTCTTGTAATCCTTCAAAACGAAACATTTAACAGATATCAATTCCACACTATCAAACAATTCTGGTTATTCTACAAGTAGAGATCCTTCAGTTATCTTATAACGTGGGACTGCAGAGGTGGCTGAGTGCTTCACAGCTTGTACTACTCCTGCAGAGATCCTGCGTTTGGGTCCCAGTGACATGCCGGGAAACTGGTTTGCAGCCACCTGCAACTCCAGCTTTGTGGACCTGACACCTCAGGTCACTGCAACACCTGTGCGCTTCTCTTACACAGACACACACAAACACATAAGTTAAAAATGTCTAAAAAGCCAAGGTGCCCCACACAGAAGTTTGACTATCGTATTTCGCACATAACTTTATTTGTTGAATAAATGAATATTTGTCAATATGTACATAACCACGAAGAGCAAATACTAGGTTGAGAGCAAAATATTTGGGTTCTAATATGCAAAGCCACTTACCAGCTATGAGGGCTCAGGTGAAGAGCGAGCCTGAGCTCAGCTTCCCCAACTGTACTTCCTCAACTGTAGGCTGGACAGACCCACGTGGCCACCACGCAGGCTTATTGCAAGGTTCAAATGCGGGAACACGTGAAAGTGCCAATGAACACAACCGGGCGCAATACAGATGCGACAAGTAACAGTAAGTAAATTTCAAGTTGAAGAATATTTTCAATCCCTTGGATTGTACCGATATAGTCAACAGAAGGCGGCAGAGTAGCTAGCTGGCCACTGATGAGAACGAGCAAGCCATTCTTCAGAGTGGAAGGGATTCTGCAATATTCTGAAGCCTGTCCCGGTAAACGAGTCACTTCCCAAACTTCCAGATGTCAGAGACCCACCAAAAACTCTCCTGAAGAAACTCAAGGGCCAGATGTTCCTCGTTTATTTACATGTGAAATGGGTTGAATACAGTCACAATGGATGTAGTGAGCACACCCAACAGCAGCAAGACCTTTCAAGGAACTGCACGTTGACTACAGTCTAGCATGCAAGTCTATATACACAAATGGATTTCTTTGCTTAGGAAAACAAAACAAACAAGTACAAAACATATCTGAAGATAAATACAAGATATAAAATGCAACGGAAAACACAAAACAATAACCAAAATATAGAGCTTTCCCAGAGAACTATACAGGGAAGTGACCAGAGAGCACCTCTACAGTGCTCAATCGGGCGGCCATGACAGGGTGTTGAAACAACTCGAGAAGCCTGGCGGCTCAGTGCTTCGTCTATGGCCAATTGCAGAGTACAGGCTGCTGCATTGCTAGGTCGGTGGTAAAGTTGTGCATCCCAACTCTAAGTACCAGGACATTTGGCAGTAGCACCCAGAACAGGAAACACCAACTGCGTAGACAGCAAAGGGTTAAGTCAACCATGCCTCCATGTTCCTATCAAGAGCCAGAGAAATACTCATATTCTTGAAAGATGTGTCTCTGTAATATTGGTGAGCTGCATGACAAAACCTGACTAGAGAGCCACAGACAGGTCTGACTACCTTTCAGCTTTGACAGCAGGCTAGCCTTTTCTCAGCCTGTCTTACCACGATCTGTAAGACAGCCTCGCAAACCCACCCAGAAAAATCGCCAGCTGTTTTCTCCCCTTTATGTTCCCCTTCTTCCTCATTCTTGCAGAAGGATTAAGGATGCCTGCATTCCCTGTTGGGTTCCTGGCCTCTTTTACTCACTTTGGAGGACGAAGGGATCTGCAAGGTTGCTCCAGATGCTGTCTGGGAGGGTCTGGGCCATGTCCCCACCCGGGTGCTGTTGTCCTTGGAGCCCTCGATTGCTAGGAACAGGCACGCTAAGTGTGGTGCTAAGACACTTAAGAGTTGCTAGTGTTGTGAGACCCACAATCACCTACAAGTTATGTGGTGAGTTCTAAAAATTAAAAACACTAAAAAAGGCATGTTAGCCTGTAATTATTGAACTCATTTAAATTTTTAACATACAAAATGGTTGGTTTGAATTCAGGAACTGCCCCTGTTACGAAGGACTCTGTTTTAAAGAAACGGTACAAAAAAGGAAAACTCTAACCCAAAACAACAAAACTCAAAACATTTTCCACCAATACTGATACAAACATGTAACAAAGAGTATAAAAGTTATTTAAATATATACAAACTCTTTAAAACTCAAATACTGCCTTAATACTTACGGGGAGGGACACATTTGAGGAGGTGAGGGGGCAGGACAGAGAATATATTGCGACAGCTCAGACAGTACTGTTAACTCTGTTATACTGCAAACTTTTGGTAACAAAAAAGTCTTGTTTTCAATTCCTATGTGGATAGGGCTTTTCTTATGGAAGATCTGTGGCTATTTCTCAGCTGAACTCATTCTTTTGGATTTGATGAAGGCCATGCCATGTGTCCGCATGTGCGTGTTTAAGGCAGCTTCCGTTTCAAAAGTCTTGGCGCACACTTTGCACTTCCTGTCTGACACTGCGCCCTCAGCGGCCTCATCCTCAGGGCCGGGCTTATTCTCTTGCTGGCTGTCTTCCCCAGCCCCATTCTGCTTGGACACGGGCTGAGGCTCCTTCAGCTTGTGCACGATGAAGAGGTGCCTGGACAGGGAGACGTGGGATGTGTAGCAGAGGCCGCACTCCCGGCACTGGTAGGAGGAGCCATCGGACTTGTGCTGAGGGATGTGTTCATGGAACTGCAGCAGGTTCTCGGTGGTGAAGCCACACACAGCACACTTGTGAACCTTAAAGACGTTGATTTTCAGCTTTTTCAGTGGCTGGGTGATGGCGCCTCTGGGAGGCCTGAACTCTAAAACTGGTTCTTCCAACTTCCGCTTGGGACTGGGAACCTTTGTTGGGAGAAAGGAAGACAAAAAAATGATGCAACTGAAAGCGGTGGGCTCTGTGTCTGACAAGCAATGCCGGAGCTGCTAGGAAAACAGACACTGGATGCAGAGAGGTTCAAATCCCCACCATGGTCCTCCCTCCCACCCCCAGCAGGAAATATTTCCGTGCTTCCAGGAGGCACTGTGCAGTGAACAAGGAGCTCATGATCTTGGGCTGGAGGGGAGCAGCACCTCAGGCCCTCCACACCTCGAAGACAAAGCTAAGGCATGGAAGGGTTCATGCGAGAAAACCCTGGGAGGGGTCAAGTGATCTGGCATGGTCATGGAGGGCCATGGTGACAGGTGACAATGTGGACAGATGCCAGAGCAGAGAGCTAAAGCCCAGGTGGGAGCAAGGCCTGTGTGCTTAGAGGACCATAGGTGAGCAGACTAGGCCGAAGGAGGAGGAGCAGAGCACCTTGCGGGAGAGAACACGGACACATGCTTTCACATAACTAGAGGGGATTCCATGGGCCCAGCGCCTGCTCCTGGCAACTGTCCTTCTGGTTCCCGTCTCTCCAGGTCCCCTCTGGACTTGCCTTTTTCCTTTCCCCTGGCTTTCAAAACTCCAAGTGCCTCCACGTCCTCTGTCTAGGGCGCCACGCTGCTCTGATGGCCTACACCTGCAGCTACCTCTCACACACTTCACTTCCTTCGAGAAGACCTCTCCTAATGCCACACCTACCTAGCTGTCTGCATGAGGGCCACAGCAATGACTAACCAATAATGCATGCCTTGAGAAACTGCTTTAGCCCAAGTATGTTCTAGACTTTCCATGGCACCAAAGCCAGCAGTGACTGCTATGTGGTGCTTTCCGTATCTCCAACAGCAAGCAGAACCCTCAGCGCCTTGAACATGGGCTCCTGTATACACACAATGTCAGCCGACCAAGGTTCATTACCCATGCAGACAAGAATAAAGTGTGGTTGTGGGATTTGATCTTTCACCATTCCGATGAGAATCAAAGAGTCACTCTCAACACCTGCCACTGCTGATACAGCCAGTGAAAGCATCTGCTTAATACGTTTCATGGATGAAGAGACAACTTCCCTAAGTCAATGTATAAATTTATGAATTCTATGAGGAGGTCCTGTGTGTTGTTTCTGGAAGGATACAGAAAAATCTTAGAAAGGTTACTTTTCAGGAGCAGCTGGGAGCTGGGATGGGCTGCAAGGGGCTTACTGTAGTTTTGACAGTCTGAACTTGAGCCATGACTACAGAAAATGTAGATGAGGATGCACAGGGAACACACATCGCACACGTCACAGGGAAAGAGCAGAGCTGAGCTGTCTGACCTTGGCGTCTTCCTTTACGTCAGTTTCTTCCTCGTTGGCAGCCTCAGTCAGCTCTTCCACATCAGGGTCCTTGATGCCGTGCATCAGCTGTATGTGCTTCTCCAGCATCAGCCGCTTCGTGAACGTCCGTCGGGAGTCTGGGCAGTGTCTGTGAGCACAAGATCGAGAGGGGACTGTGGCTGCCAAGTGGTGCTCATTACAGAGGGACCTGGCTGACAGCGTGCGCGAGGCCCAGAAAGGCAAACTAACACTAGGGCCTCCAAATAAAATAAGCAGTGCTGCGGTGACTCTCACTTCCTAACGTGAAAAGGTCCTACCCCTAGGCTTTTGTAAAAGCCGTTGACTTGACTAAAAAGAATCTATATGCGTACATGTGCATGCCACATGTATACAGGTTCGGTCTGGAGCTAGAGTTACTTCAGGGGGGTGTGGAAGAGCAGCGAGAACTCTTCACCCCTGAGCCATCTCTCCAGCCCTCAGCTACATTTTGTGTTCTCACAGGAACAGCATACTTTGGTTCAGGCAGATATTTGTTTTTCTACACTTAGCTAAAGCATTGTTTAAGTTGTAGTTCTAGATGGCCTCAATCTTAAAAAACTGGAGAATACTAAATTTTCCAGATTTTCTTTAGTGACTCAGAGCAGCCCTCAGAATTTATGTAAGAAACGCCTCAGGCTGCAGGAGGTCCCCCTTCTGAACCCTTGACCCCTCTGAATTTCAAGACAGAATGTTAGCCTAGATTCCTCAAAGCACAAATGCAACTTGTGTTTGTACCTGGAAATGTTCACTCATTTGGTAGATTAAAATGCAGAAAGCATACTATCCATTAGAGGCAAATTACTTAAATTTTGTGCACTACAAAGATGATTCCCTAGGAAAGTTTTTTTTTGTTTTTTTTTTTTTGTTTTTTTTTGTTTTTTGTTTTTTGTTTTTTACGAGACAGGGTTTCTCTGTATTGTTTTGGAGGCTGTCGGTCCAGCCCGGCCTCGAACTCACAGAGATCCGCCTGCCTCTGCCTCCCGAGTGCTGGGATTAAAGGCGTGCACCACCACTGCCCGGCCCCCTGGGAAAGTTTTAATTTAAGAAACAGTCCTAAGAAAACAGTCCAGAAACAAGTTTAAACAAATTAATGAGCATAGCGACTATGATTGCTATATGTTAGACTTCAAGAACAGCACTGAAACAACTCAATGTGCTGGTCCACGCCTGTAATTCTAAAAGTAGGAATGCGGAGACAGAGGATTATGAGTTTGAGACCAACCTGGGCTAAAGGGTGAGAGCCTGTCTAAATGCAGCACCCCCAAAAACCAAACAAACAGAAAAACCCACTGCATTGTGAAGGGCGATAGCATCTCCTGTCTTTAGCAAAGGTATCTGGGGATATCTTAATGACAATCCCCAAATGCTGGTGACTTCATCTTAGAAGACCCTCTGTGGGATGGCAGCAAGAGCTAGCCCTACAGCAAATATTCTCAAGCCTAAAAGGTTTTTACTTTGAGAATGACTGTGTTTGTGTGTGTGTGTGTGTGTGTGTGTGTGTGTGTGTGTGTGTGTGTGGTGTCTGTGTATGTGTGTCTGTATATCTTTAAGAAGGCTCTGGGGATTGAACTTGCATTGTCAGGCTTATGAAGCACTTTGGCTCATTGAGGCAACTAACTGGCTCCCTCATGAGATTTTTGGCTAGCAGTAAATTAGCTGGGGAGAAAAAATTTCTTCATTTTACTGCCTTTCAGTAAAAGGGGGGAAAACAGAAAAGAAGAAAAGGACCAAAGAACGAAAAAACAGCAGCTGTCACAGAAGGCCCATGCCAGGCTTTTCTATCTTCTCAGCCTGGGACACGATGTGCCTGGTACATAGTATTAACACACAGACTCATGGGACGCTGTCATCACACATCATTCCCCTTTGATTTCCTACCTAGAAAACATTCCCTAAATACTCAAGGAACTGAAAATCCCCATTAATCTGATGGCCAATATCATATATGCCCTCACCATCAGATCTAAGGGACTGGCTCTAACCACCATCAACTGCGTTCCAAACAGGCTCTGTGGACTCTCTCTGCCTGCGTGTGTGCGTGCGTGCGTGCGTGCGTGTGTGTGTGTGTGTGTGTGTGTGTGTGTGTGTGTGTGTGCACACCATACATGTGCTTGATGACTGAGGAGTTCAGAAGTGGGCGTTAGATTCCTTGGAACTGTAGTAGTAAGGATTGTAGCCTACCATGTAGGTGCCAGGAATCAAACTCAAGCCTTCTGCAGGACAACAAGTGCTCTTGAGTGCTGAGCCATCTCTCCTGTCCCTCTGTGGTCTCCTATGAAGAGAGCTTTGTCCTATCTACTCACTGTGCATGTGGGTTGAGTGGGTGACGCAAATTTCCCACTAACGATAACCACAACCAGGTCATCTCATACTAAGAGACAATTTAAGGCTGACTACTGGTGGGTGAGTTCACACTGGCCCCTCAGCTCATCATATTTTATTTGATCTCAGCCAAAGGTCAAAGCGTCTCTAACGTAGGTGGTGGACTGCAGCCAGATGGCTCATTGGCCTGGGCTAGAGCTAAGTGTATAAATGGGTCCCCTTCTTAGTCTTCCACTGAACCTGAGTAAATCAACCTCAAATCTACATGGCAACATGGTCCAATCACTATATAAGAGCTATCTCATCCACTGTGTACCGGGGAAGTCCACCACACTCTAATACAAACACGTCCCACTTAGTAACAGAATGCAGTGTAAGCGTGTGTAAAGAAGAGCTGTTCGCTTTACATGTGGCGATGGAAACGCACACACTGAAGTGGGATACAGGTAAGATGCAGAGCCTAGACCCCAGAGCAGAGGAGGGAGCAAAAGCAAACGGCTAAACCCGGGAAGCTTTGGGGGCCACCATCCCTCCCCTGTGTGTGCACAGCAGACTGAAACTTACGAGCAGGCATACACTTTCCTGATGCCTTTGTGCTTGATGCGGTTGTGGCGGCACAGGCTGTGGGAGGAGCTGAACGACTTGTCACATTGGCGGCAAGGGTGCTTCTTCATTTGCTGTGCAGGAGAAAGAAAGGACCCTTAAGACTGTGGAGGCAAAAATCACCTGACATACCTAAGCTGGCATTTTGCAGCACTGATAACCAATTCTGGGACATACACATGCTGAGTAATTGTTCTGCCACTGAGCTACGGCGGCCCTAAAACAGTGTAAAAACTAATAAAACTATCAAGTTCTTTGAAAATACATAATTATAGAGCTAGACAGATAGCTCGGCAGTTAAGAACCACTGGGTGGTTAAGAGAGGACAGGGTTCAATTCCCAGCACCCACAGGGCAGCTCATAGCAGTCTGAAACTTCATTCCCAGGGGATCCAACACCCTCTTCTGGTCTCTCTGGGCACTGCATACATACAGTACACAGACACATTCAGGCAAAACATTCATACACATTTATTACAGAAAAATTTACAGTGTAGTACTGGGTCATCCAGGAAGAAATTCATTTTAGGATTGTAGAATATTTCACCCCCTAAATACTTAACTTTCTAACCCAAATATCTAGATATTTGTTATAGAAATATTATTTTCATGAAAGTTACTATTTTTAAAAGTAGACAATATGTGAAACATCAACTACTTCAATAACTACCAAGTAAAAACATCACTCAGTTTGTTGTAAATGGGAAATTGCCTTTTTCAATGTGCCATGTTAAAATCACTGGTTGATTTTAAACACTGAAAACCTTTGCTCCTCGGTGATTAAGTAACTGCCAAGACCCCTTCAGTGGGCTGACTCTTAATGTGTATGAGAGAATGTTTACATATGAGCTATCACACATAATAAAAATACTTTAGAACTACTGGCAAAAACAATTCTTTTCATAAAAGTTTCAGGTTGGGGATACATCTCCATGGTAGAACCCTTGTCTAGCACAAGGCCCTAGTTCAAAGCCAAGTGCACACACACACACTTCCCACTTTGGCTAGGGACACAGTTGTGCTAGTTAGATATCCCTCTGTGCAGGACCCTTGAAGCAAACTGGAAGTTTAATTTTAAAAGAGATCTTGGGCATGGCAAGCATTAAGTGGCCCCAAACCAAACTCTGCCATATCATAAGGGCTATCATTCTCCAGAATGGAACCAGGTCGACTCAGCCTTCATTAAATGGGGCTGTGTAGAATCAGTTCTCATTTGAGAGACGTTACTACTGGCAGTACAAATGATGAAGGAATACCCTTTTAAACTTAATCATCTAAAGTATGTGAACTGGCAAGCAAACATATTTAACTGGTGAGTCTGGCTCCACAGAACCAGAGGTGGGCTGGTACCCTGTCTCTGTGATTCACAACTGTGTAATCCCAAGCAGACACTCAGCTAACAGCAGCCACTCCCCGAACTGTGAACTAAGGTCCCAACCATGTCATCCTTGTGGAGTACCCTGTGGAAAACCCTGCACCTAACTAAGACTGAACACGAACAACTGAGGAGATACACAAAATTCTCCCTTCATTCTTCTATTCCATTAGCACAGTCCCATGTCCTTGTTTCGTTTTAAAGACTGGGGAGACAGGCTTGTTTTATTTATGAAATAAGCTCAGGCTGAACTCACAGTGATCCTTCTGCTTGTTCACTACTACGCCTGACCTTCTAAATAAAGCAAAAAAGGTTGGAGAGTGGTCAGAGGCATCTGGAACCCAGACAAGGGCAAGGGGAGAATCCTCATCTCCTTGTTAACAATAAAACTATCAATACTTTATGAGGAAAGAAGGAACAAAGAGACAGCCACGCACTGCCTCTGAGACAAACTGCCATATCACCTGTGGTGTCTGAATGAGAATGACCACCACAGGCCATTTGGAATATTTGCTTGAATACTTGGTCTCAATTGTTGGACCTGTTTGTCAAGGATTAGAAGGCATGACTATCACTGGGGGTTAGCATTGAGGTTTCAAACGCCATTCCCAGTGTATGTTTCTCTGCCTCCTATTTATGGATCAGGATTTGAACTCTCAGCTGTTCCTGTCCCCTGCCACCATGGATTCTCACCCTAAGCCCAAGTCAATGCTTTCTTTTATAAGTTGCCTTGGCCATGGTGTTTAGTCCAGCAACAGTGAAGTAACTAAGACATCTCCTAAGGCCTTCCCCCATGATTCATGTTTTCTTTTGAGACAAGCTCTTGCTATGTACTCTAAGCTGGCTTCAAATGTACAATTCTCTGGCCTCACTCTCGTGAGTCCTAGGTTACAGGCAAGTGCCATAGCAACTTTTGATCACACAGAGAAAGCCATTAGAAACCCTACTCTATGCATATAGCCAAAGAATAAGAAAGAGGCAGCATGTGTCCATTTCAGGATAAAGCTTTAAGCACAGAATCATCAACAAATAGATTTGTTTCAAAAGTAGTATTTAGAAAGACTTGATTCCCCTAGTAATCTTGTACACATCAGATGAACTTGCAGCTAAGACACAAGACAACTTTCTAAAAGGAGGACATCTCTGTCAAGTAACAGACTCCAGGCAGAAGTACACACGACGGCACGGCACGGCACAGCACGAGGCTGTGCACAGGGATTGGGACTGGACTCTTTGCAGCGCGGCGATGGGTTCAATGCTTTCTCCCTCATCACATCGATATATTAACACCAAAGCAAACTCCTAATAAAGAAGTGTCAGTGGGGACACCTTCAGGGGACAGTACGTGAGAAGCACCCCTGCTGAGTTCATTTTCACAAAGCTATCAAGTAGCATAGGGCGACCAAAACTCCTTTCAGGATTAAATGAAACCAAGGGTTTAGAAGTTAATGAAAATAAGGCAATGTCCAATAAGCGCCTTGACAGCCACAAGAAATAGCAGAATGCCAACTGACTAAACAGTGCCCAGTTGTTCCCAAGCCACACTATCAACTCAACCAAAGCTTTCCAAGAAATGTCACAGCAGCAGCCTGCCTCACTAGGTAACGTCTCAACACTGAACCTGTCTGTGTAGGGTCTGATCCAGTTACACGGTAGGCCTCGCCTGCACACCCTCACCCCAACTCTTTACTACCAGGAACATTCTAAGTCTCCCAAAGGATGCCTGATGTTCAGACAGTATGGGGGCCTGTGTGGGTGGTGCTCCTTAGTGTGCAGGCAGGTGCTCCTTCACTTACAATGAAATTTAATATCAATAAACCCACCACAAGTGGAAAGTGAACTTAATAGCCCCACAAGCCCATTACAAAGTTGAACGTTTACAGCAATCTGGGGGCAAGCTATATATACCCTCCTGGATTAAATGTACAAACTAAGCATAAGAAATGAACTGATAAACCAACAGTACAACTCATGCTCTTCCAAGTTCCGTGAATGTGTCTAAGTCACAGAGTTCAGGATGCTCCTAGCTTTGCATTGAGAGAGTGTGTTACGGCCTTTCCGTGGCCTGTCTGAACTGGCAGCATCCTACACAGCATTACTAAAACGAGGGTCAGCTGAACATCACCAAGGCAGTCTGTGGCGCTGAGTGATCACGGTGGACAGCAGGTACAGAGGGTACACTAGACAAAGGGATGATTCAGTCCCTGGGTGGGACAGTACAAGATTTCGTCATACTGTTTAGGAGTTGCTCACATCTAGAATTTCCAACCTAGTGCTTACACCTTGCAGTTGACCCCAGGTAACAAGACACAGAAAGTGAAACCACAGAGATGGAACAAAATGACGCTTTTATAAAGAAAGTTAAGATATGTACAAATCTAGAGCTGTGGGGGGTAGGAGCAAGACTATGCTAAGCTCCTTCATGCTCAGTTTGTGGACCATGTGAACAGAGTACACATGTAAATCAAACCTTTTTTTGATCTATTGCCTCAAAAACAATGTAAGTTAGGTTTACTGAAGTAGAGTTTTACATGGGTGCATTTTATATTTTATAGAGTCCTAAACATCATAGCTCACACTTCTAATTCCAGCATTTGGGAGGCAAGAGGGAGTTCAAGGCCAGGCTGTGGGGGCTGGAGCAATGGTTCAGTGGTTAGGAGTGCATCCAAATCAGGCAGCTCTCAACTGCCTGTAACCCAGATCCAGGGGACCTGATATCCTCGTGTGGCCCTCGAAGGCACATACATTCATATACATAAATTCAAATAAAATTTTAAAAAATACAGTTGAGTTAGGCCATGTCAATCATGATACAGACCAGATGTCACTCTCCATATGCCCATGGGCCCTTTGTGGGTAGCCCTGCCCAGAGCCCATGCCCTCTTTCCTGTCTACACCTCTGCTTTGCTTTGTGTACCTGTCATAAAGCGGGCCACCCCTCAGCACACCAGGCTCCCAACACAACCCATGGCTAGCTCGCCTGTGCATTCCTTTTCACTTCACAGAAATGTCCCACTTACAGCTCTACCCTGGTTCACAGACCCATTTACCAGTTGGTGGATATCAGCATTGCCAGTTTGGAGGAAATGATGAATAAAGCTATTGTAAACATTAGGTCCAACACAAATTTTTTCAGTTAATAGTTATGATATTTACTTGCATGTGTATCTAACCCCTAATGTCCTAGGTTTCCTTAGAAGAGTGCTTAGGTGTTTTTATCCTCCATAAACTCTCTGGGAACGGAAGCTGCCTGTTACTCATCATCAGAGCCTTCTTTTCAGAAATACTTGGGTCAGTAACTGTGCCAACAATGCACATGTGTTCACTAGAAACACACCGGTGAGGCCTATAGGGCAACAGTCAGGATGAAGTGTTGCCCACAGCAAGCACTGTTTAGAGTTCAGACATCAGGGGATACAGAGACTGCAAAAGGCAGGGTAAGCTGGGAAGTATGGAGGTAGGAAGGCTCAGACAGAGGAGACAGACAGATCCTCCATGCCATCTGGACCTCACACCCATCCATCCTTCAATCCCCAAGTGAAACACCCATTCCCAAGATGGCACTCCCAGATTCTCTGGCCTGCACTTACTTCTCAATTTTATTATATATAAAAGGATCAGGTGTGCTGGCGTACAGCTTTAAGCAGTGAAAAACAGCAAGGTTCTTAGGATACTACTGGACAAAATATCCTCAGAGTCC